CCCTGCAGTATACCGTTTACTAGACTTATTTAGCTGGAGCCAAGTGATTTACAATCATATATACCTCAGAAAGTCTTTGTTTTATTTTCATCAAGTGCATTTTCTAATCAAGAAATTATAGTGTGTAATAACAATGAGAACATAACTCTCAAACTGAAAAACCTGCAGAATCTTAAGGTCCCCTATTGGCATTGCATTGAATAAATTACTTAATAAATAAGCCTTTATGCCACTGTTTCCCATTCTTGAAACTGATGGCAATTATTTTCATTGATTTGACTTGTTCTTATGAGCTAAGCATATGTAGCCAAAATTATGCTTTCAAACTGAGCTTTATGCAATATCATAACTTGTTTTCTACAAATATGTTCTTTGCTGGAATTATTATTACAGAAATGCAACAGATAACCTGAACTGAGAAAATACTGATAATAAAATGAGAATACCTTGCCATTTGTCGGCGGTTCTTGAATGTAAATATTGCTCATTTTGAGTGATTGATTGGCGCCTTTACAAAAAGTGTTTATAACTACGAGGCCTTTGTGCAGAAATTCCTTAAAAGCATTACCACCTTAGTGAGGGTATTGTTCGGGAGGTGAATCATGCCCGTCTTCAAGACATGCAGCAGCCCCCGTTCCAGGGTCATTGCACATGCGCACTATCACTTCAAGACCTGGCGAGAAGTTGTGCATGTGCTATGACCCTGCAACACTGATTAATGCGACGAGAATGAACAATAATATATACACGTAAATTAGTGAAGGCCAATATTTCGCCCTTGCATACGGGGCTTCATCAGAGCTAATTTGCTACATTTTTATCGATTTTTCAACGCTCTGCGGTGCCTGCCGACAACGTGAATAAATATTGTGCGCTGCTTCCCGCTTCTGAAGCTTAGATCAGGGGAGACCTAATTGAACCTTTTTCGAACACGTTAAATGCGTTCAAAAATGTTGCTCTCGCCTCTAGCCGTTAACCCATGAAGATTTGACAGCCTTTAGCACAGAGTATTTTTCATCAGTGTAACTACTGGGGAAAATTCCCCAGAAGGTCCGATTCCCCAGTAGGCCCAATGCCTTCCCCTGTAGTGAGAGTCAAAATTACAGAATTTCCCAAGTAATTTGGGCCCCTGGCGATTTCCACTGACCTCCGTTATTTTTTATAATCAACTTTTAAATGACATTATCTGTATTTCTAGACTTTGTACTTTCATGCATCTTTTTGCAATTTATGAACTAGATTTATACTGTGCTGCCTATTGAATCGCGCTCTTTTGTCCTATCCTGTGAAAACAAGATGACGTCATATCTTACTACATCCATCACTATATGCAACTCAAATTTCGTCCATGCTACGCCCGCTATAACGTCATTATAGTGCATTACTTTTATCAAAAACATTGCATATAACTCCACAGCAATGTTGTGGCAATGAAACTGTTTACACATGCATATGGACATTAGGTTGTTTTATATTCAAGGCTTCAATACAATGATACATTTTGGCTGGCATCAGCCCTTGAAGCAGGGGTATGGGTGTATCTAGGTGTAGAGGAGCATACGATTATTAGCCCAGAAATGCTCTATCTGGTAGATTGACTGATGAGGTAAGAAAGGAATCAAAATTATAAAGACTAGGTATACACAAATTTGTGTATGTTTATTAACATATATTTTTATTATTATATACACGTATAAAACAGTATATTTTATCTATATGGACATGTGCTCATTTTATTCAGCCACGCTAGTCAAACAACAAACTGGATCCTACCATGGGTATCATAGCCACATAAATCCGCGAATGGAAATAGACGATAGGAGCAGGAAGTGAAGGAGAATCTGAGAAGAAGGGTAAGCCCACAGCCACTTTTCATTCTTCTAAGGAAGAAGCTCCTCCACTTCCCGCTCCTGTTTTCTATTTCTATGCTCGAATTTACGACATCATTCAAACAAAATCATGAAAGAAAGCTTATTGATTACCTTAAAGAACGCTACCGGTCTTGCTTTGGTGTTTTTAAAGTCTTCATCGAAGTGAATGGGATCTTAACAAATTTACGAGTAACAAAATAATGGATGAATTGCGGGTGACACTCAAGAAACTCATTTGCATTCTACAAATAGTGATTGTGCACTCAACCAGCAGGTAAGGAAAAATGGCAGGAATAAAGAAGCTGCTTGAAGAAGTACAAGGTAAGATATACGAGAGGATTGAAAACAACCCGCGTGATTTTCGATTTGAAATAGAAGACACGGAAGAAGTGCGTCGCAAAATGAAATATCTCGAACTTCACTTGCAAGATGCACAAGATTTTGAAGAAACAAAGGAGGAAATGGAGGCAATAGGAGGCCTAGCCCTTGCATACCACAAACTAGGGGACTTTGATCAAGCTTTGGGACTTTACAAAAAACAGCTTAAACTTGGCAAAAGATTGGATGATGAAACGAATTGCAGAAGGGCTCATTGCAACCTAGGAATTCTTTACAAGAGAAAGGGCGACTTGACTTTGTCTGTGAAGCACTATAATAAAGCACTTGCGATTGCTAAAAGGAGGGGAGAACTTGGTGCCGAAGCACGTCTGTTTAACAATCTTGCAAACCTATGTGAGCTGCAAATGGATTATGAAGGAGCAATAGCATATCAAACGAGGAGACTTGACATCGCGAAACAAAGAAGCGATAAAGACGCACTCACTAAGGCATACGCTGCACTTGGAAGTCTCTACCATATAACGGAAAAGTACAGTCAGAGTATTGAGAGCTATGAAGATTTATTGGCAACTTTGAGATCAAAACTAAGTACAAATTCAACTATTTCTCTTGATACATGCCTATTAGATTCGCGAAAAAAGCTTGATTTCACGAACACTCTAGTACAACACAAATTATAGTTTGAAGATGACACCAAATAGAGGAAAAAATCGCAAAATGAAGTACTACTTTTCGTCCGAAACTCTCCAGAGTATACACGTCAGATACTGACCAAAGGCTAGCAGGAAACCTTTTCCCAGGTCTGGATCAAAACGGTATACCCACACCTTGATATAAATGTTCTGCATACCTTCGGACATTATTCGACGTTTATATACTGAAGAGCGTTGAACGAAAAGTACTTCGGTATGATATGTTTTCACTTTTTAGTGCAATCTTCAAAAATTGCGGTAACAAAAATTATTTATTGAACAGTTTGGTAACCGTTTGCTCCCTCACCCTCACCTTTACTGAAGTATGATATTAATTTGAAAACGGCACGATTTGAAAACGACACGATTTGAAAATTGCACTATTTGAAAACGGCACGATTTGAAAACGACACTATTTGAAAATTGCACTATTTGAAAATTGCACTATTTGAAAACAGCACGATTTGAAAGCGGCACGATTTGAAAATTGCACTATTTGAAAATTGCACTATTTGAAAACAGCACGATTTGAAAACGGCACGATTTGAAAATTGCACTATTTGAAAACGGCACGATTTGAAAACGACACGATCTGAAAACAGCACGATTTGAAAACAACACGATTTGAAAACGGCACGATTTGAAAATTGCACTATTTGAAAACGGCACGATTTGAAAATTGCACTATTTGAAAATTGCACTATTTGAGAACAGCACAATTTGAAAACGGCACAATTTGAAAACGGCACGATTTGAAAATTGCACTATTTGAAAATTGCACAATTTTAAAACGGCACGATTTGAAAACGGCACAATTTGAAAACGGCACGATTTGAAAATTGCACTATTTGAAAATTGCACAATTTTAAAACGGCACGATTTGAAAATTGCACTATTTGAAAACAGCACGATTTGAAAACGGCACAATTTGAAAATGTCACTATTTGAAAACGGCAGGATTTGAAAACGGCACAATTTGAAAATGGCACCATTTGAAAACGGCACGATTTGAAAACGGCACGATTTGAAAATTGCACTATTTGAAAACAGCACGATTTGAAAACGGCACTATTTGAAAACGGCACGATTTGAAAACGGCACTATTTGAAAACGGCAAGATTTGAAAATTGCACTATTTGAAAATGGCACGAAACGTTTCAGTGCAATCGCTTGAAACAGAACAATTATATTGGAGATGACCCTCTCTTTGAATCCAGAGCGCTATCGTTCTGTTTCCAAGTATAACCCTTAAAAATTTCATGCCTTTGTCACAACCTGCCGTTTTCCAATTTTTTCCGTTTTCATATGAAAACGATACAACATTGAATTATTTTTGGAAGAACGGGACATCCTCGTCGGACAAATATGCCATATTGCCCTTATGTGGAGGGTTGTTTAGCGTTGCGTTGCGCTGCGTTTCGCAGCTGACGGTAGTTTGTTTAGAACCCCTTGCACCCTAAAATGTGCTCCGACGTACCTGCCCGTTTTTTGAAAATATGTATGGGTTTTCGCATAGATCTTTTGAATAAGCTTTTATAACTAAACGAGTTTTATACACTTAGATACACAGAGCACTTTTCTTTAAACAGATTAAGCGTGAAATTTTGAGTAGCAACATAAAATCGTTCTGTTCAATGCACTAAAAGAGTAAACGAACAGTCTAGATTGAAAAAAATTGAAGAATGGCTCGTATAATCATTTGCAGAAATTCAAGACACATTAGCAGACGACGCTTCGGGGTCTTCAGATGATGATTATGTTGATTTTGAGGCAGAAGAGTAAGTATCTCTTGCTAATATCAATTTATCTAAAACGAGACACGCCGCGAGGGTAATGAGGGGGGGGGGACTAGTTCCCCCCACTTTTTCAGAAAGTTGGTCCTTGAGATTCTTGCAAATTCGATGTGAAAACTTGGGAGGGGGGTCGTTACGTTATCTAGATCGTCAAAGGCTGATTTTGGTGTGAAGCCATAGCATCATTTTCCATGTACAATTATCACCTTGTCAGTAGTTTTGCAGACTACCGTCAAATCTTCTTTCAATAAGCAACGAGAGAGATGTTTCCAACAGAATTGACTTATCAACTCTTAAAAACAATTTGCCATTAAATTGAGGAAGCTGATCTTATAGTCCATAATATCACACAGCTAGAAACCTGGTTTATCCTTCAGAATTTTGTTTCTCTCAAAAACTTTTGTGAACTATTTGTACCTGGAACAGATCGTTGTATTAGATATCGTGACAGTATAGATTTTGAAAGTTTTTACAAGTAGCACTTGATGATAGGTCTTTTCATGATTTTTCCACACGTAAAATTTTAAATTTCAAAACTCTGAAATTAAGTTTCAGGCAATAAAGTTCATTGCCAAGGGTAATTTAAATTACTGTTCTTGGGAGACGAGGGGTGTTTCCTAAGGAAGAAATGCTTCTCACAAGAAAAGGGCATGGCCTAAAAGGGTGTGGTCCCGGACCGCTTTTTGTCCCTCCCACTTTTTGTCCCTTTTTGTCCCTCTCACGATGGTACAGGTAAAAATTTTATTACATCAATTCATATCAGGTTGATAGATTTTGCTTCGAAAAGCAGTTGTACCTGTAAACGAAAAAAAACGTTAGCAGTGTAAATTAACAGTTCTTGCAAAAAGTTAATAATTGATGTTAGCATAACTCATTAGACATAACTGTTTTTGTCTTGCAGAGACGAAGATGACGTAGACGACGAAGATGGTGGCAAAAAGGTAAATTACAAAAAATATTACTGCAGAGTTTATCATCTTGATCATAAAACTATTTTTAAACTCAACTCTCTGTGTGCTTCGCGTCTGCAATTATGATTCATTTTCAACAAAATTTATTCCAGGGAAAGAAGACAAAAAAACCAAAGAAAAAGAAGAAGAAGAAGAAAAAATGAAAAATTACTACAATTGTAAAATCATATCTAAGAAGATCTTTATCATAATTAATGACTAATAGCATGCTATGAAATTGTCTTAAACTTGTCATTAATAGAGAACTAAGAAAATTTGCAGTTATTTTTTCTGAAAATGATAAATGAGTAGAGTGAACGAATATGAATATTATTGGATATGAATATGAATATGAATGATATTATAATCGATGAATAACAACGATATGAATATTATTGGATATGAATATGAATATGAATGATATTATAATCGATTAATGACAACGATATAAATATATTAGTTTGGGGGGGGGGGTGGTATTGTCACCCGAGCGGAGAATCTACAACACAAACTTTTTTCAAAGCAGTTTTTTGCGCCGATGATGAATTTGAATGTTGACCAAGTGCTTGAGGGGACGTTTTTAAGAAACAGGGGGTAAAATTGGGAGTAGTGATTTTTATGTCAGTTAAAACAGAATATTTCTTATAATTAGCTCTATATAAGTGAATTTGGTAATTATAAAACCTATCTTTAGGGGGCCTATGAACTTTCAACATTTCATCTTGTGGGAAGAACGAACCACAAATTTGCATTTTCAAACATTTTTCAAGAAAAATGCGGCTAGAATGAGTTTGAAATTAATCCCTATGTTTCTCGGAAAAGTTCCTCAAACACTTGATCATTACTCCAACCCGTAATCTACGCGAAAAACCACTTTAGAAAAGTTGGTGTTGTCGATTCTCCTCTCGGGTGACGATAGCCCTGCTCCAGCTTCTGGATTTTTTCTTTTACCCTGCTTAGCCCCCTGAGCTCAACACACATCGATACCAATCTCTAATTCTGTGTACCAGGTGTCTGTTTCCTATGCGCTTGCGCACTAACCTCTATTTTACCAAAAACAACAAGAAAGTATGACAGCCGTTTCTTGATGGTGATTCCAGAAGAAAGGACTATTCTAGATATTTAGATACAATGTCATCCGCACCATTTATCATAGAGCTAGTGGTTGCAGCTTTTATAACAATTTGTCTTCTTCATCGATATGGAAATTGGAGAAAGCAGCATCTTATTGTCACAATAGCAGTCTTCATTGCTTGGTATTTCTCGTTCCTCATCATTTTTGTTCTCCCACTCGATGTTTCTGCTGTAAGTATTGTTCGTTTTGTGCACCATAGATCAGCAATGTCATAATAACAAAAAGTTTTTAGTTCAGTAAATATGCATTGCACATCGCCTCAACCCACGGGAAGTTGTCCCCATAAATATCATTTGCCGTTGAAGAAATGTTTCGTTATCAAATTGTTATCACCATTTTCTTTACGATGAAGTAGTAAAGGAACCCTGTTAAAGTTGGATTTTCGCCAATTTAATTTTATCTGTCTTTCTTTATCTTTGAAAGAAAGCAAAGTCCCTTTTTCTCCTGTTCAAGTTTGTTCAAGAATGGAAAGAATCGAACTCGAACAATTAGAACAGAATAGGCAACTAATTTTGCAGCTGTAGACAAATCTTGCAAATTTTATCCTGTCTCTAAAGCAATCATTCTGAATTGAAAGCGCTGACTTGTTTTTCTCCAGAATTTTTAATTCACGAGCACAACCTTTCTACTACACTACCATTAATTGAAAACTATAAGGTATGGGGCAAAATACCCTAGTCTAAAAATAGCCCAATTGGGCAATTTTCAGCTGAGTTCTATATCTTATCTTTTTCATCGTATCAAACTGTCCTATTTTGCAGTTTCATGATGTAGTACTACAATACAGCTGGGATACGATAACACCATTTTTGAAGGTCTGGAACAATGTAACCCAGTCTTAAAATAGAAAAAGGCAGCAATTTCCAGTTAGGTTCTATATCCTATCTGTCTGTTGTACCCTATCAAAATGCCCCTTGTTTTGAAGTATTGTACTATTGTACCTTCTTTCAGAAGAGATATTGTAATAATGCTGTTAAGGACTTGGGCAAAGTACCCCAGTCTCAAAAAAGCTTAAGGGGAAATTTTCTGTTGGGATCCATATCCTATCTTTTTCAGCCTATAAAAATACCCCTTTTGCAAAATTTTATGCTTGTATTACAATTTGTAGAATTGTTTGACTAACTGCCCAGACTAAATGCTATTGTGAAGACGGAACCAACTGCAAACCTTGTGACATCACTGATTCTTATGCTTTGTCACTCACACACATTTTTTTTAAAACCCCCAAAACAAACTTTCCCATGCAAATTTTAGAGTTAATTTTGATTTTATAATGCAACAATATGTAAAAGTTTCAATTTATTTTCAAAAAACTATTTGTGAAATCTCGTTTCATAGGCACTTTCATAACAGCCATTTAAATAAGTTTACATTTTATAAGCTTAAAGATTTATTTATAGAATATATTTGTATATTCATAAAACAGATTCATTAAAAAAAGACGATTGTAGATTCTCTACAGTTAAGATATTTTTCTTGAGCCCCTTATGTATAAGGGCATTGATTTCAAAAGTTCAAATTTTATTTTAGCTCTATTTTCCATAATAACTTCATTGTCCTTTTTCCCTGTTTCCTTGGAAAGTATATCTATTTGGGTTCTTACACAGAGTTAGCATTAGTCATGTCAAATCCTCATTTGCAAGATAATTTTAGAACTTAAAGATGAACAGGGCCAAATGATTTCTTCTTGATTCTTTGGAAAGATTCTAATACCATCTGACAACTAGAGATGATCCGAAAACAATTAGACAAATCTCTCTTAGAAAAGATGTTAGGAAGCAAACTTACACATGGGTCTCAACGAGTTCCCTGTATAAAATATCAACAAAGTGTGTACATTTGTTTATTTGCAGATGCAATTGTCTGTTTATCATGGGTTCCATCACAAGCTATCTCCAAAGCAGTGCTTCTGTGAATGTTCGTAGTGATCCTAAAGTGGGCCCATTGTTTTGGTTCTAAGTAGCCTCAATGCTTTTCATCCCTGGCTAAGGAAGTGGTAATTTTTCAATAAATTGCTTTTTTGCAAAATATTGTCAAATGAGATGTACAACTCTGCAGACCATTTTATAGTTATTGGTGCTAACTTCTTTAAATAGTAATAATTTTTTCTGTATTCATTTCCAAGACCTGTTATAGGGAATGTCAAAAACTACACCATAGAAAGAATGCTACATCGCTATTATCCAATGAAACAAAGAAAGAAAATAATTTTTGTGAGGTGCCCTGGAGCTATATGCCATCATATGTTTTACCAGATCTGTGGAGGGTTGTGTACTGGTCTTCCCAACTTCTTTCATGGTATGTAATTAAGACTTTTTACATTGCAATTCTCAGCTGTAATTTGTTGCAAAATATGTAACATTAATTGATATTTTCAATATTACTTATATATGTACAGTGGCAGCCTGGCCCTTTTCGCCTAGGGGGGCCAGCATCAAAATGGCACCCTGCATAACTAACATTATTGTCTTTTTCCTGACAATATTGGCAGTCCAGGGGTCGAGTTAATAGCTTTATTTGACTAAAAAAACCAACATTGGGAAGGGTCGGCGAGAGGTTGTAGGAGGCCCTTGGTATAACTCTGAATAGAGGCTTCTTGCGAGCGTAGTGAGCTGACAATTTTTGCGACCAAGCCCTTTAAATAAGCTTAAAATACATTTCAAAATATTTCTTGCAGTCATTTTCTTGAAGTGGTTTAAAAATTTTGCTATTTTTAAGACATGCTTTTAGTATGTTTGATTAATTCCAGTCTTTAAATGGATTTCATTACTTTGTAATGGGGAAAAGAATTAACCCTATCGTTGTATCGTCAAGACAAATTGGTCCTTCCATGAGAAATGAAGCAAAGAGACAAAATCTACTGACCCCCGCATGAGCACAGGGATGCAAATAAAATAATTTTTCATGGGGGTGTCAGGACAAGTTTAACCGACTCACGTACAAAACTGACTGTTTCTTAGAAGTCAATCCAAGCAAATAAACTAAATGAAAATTTGTCAAGAACATGTTTGGGGAACTTTCAAGAGACACTACGATGTGGTAGAATGAGGGTTTTGTTATCTTTGTAACTGTTGTGTTCATTTGGCACCTTGGAGGGGAATCCAAAGCTCCAGATAAAATATTTACCTTTGTTTTGCTAAACTTGCACTTTGGGGCAGCTAAACAAGCTCAAAACAGGCAAATTAGGGGAGTGTAGGGGTAACAAATAATGGAAAGAGTCGGTCCTGGCCAATAAGTGGAGGATTCCAGTTACACATAAGGCTAAAAAATGCATTTCTATCATATCTTTGATGCATTGTGTCATTTGATACAAAATGAAGTAAATATTCCATCGAACTTTAAAGAAATATTATTAAAGGCCAAACAAAATGCAACCGTTCAGAAAATTAGGCCTGACCCAACTTTCTTTTCAAAATCATTGTATGCCTCTTGAAAAATAAGCCTGAAGTATCTACGTGTTAGAAACATAAAGTCAATGTTTTTAGTTAAAAGTCATCTGTTTAATTTATCTTTTATGAAAAAACCTAATAAGAGCTGGTTTCATTATGTTTTAGCTTTGAATGCACTTTTTAGCGTTATTTCTTGTTATCTTGTGCATTTAAAACTGTATGTCGTAGAAATGATTTGAGATATAACATATGGACTAATCTTGGATGAAGCAATTAAACAACCAAATTGTCTGTTAATTAGGTCTCTGAAGGCCAGCAGAGCCAAAGGAACTCATTGAAAATCAAAATTTGCCCTGAAAGGGGGGCATGAGTCTGGACACCCTAAACACAGACTGTCCCCTGACACCCTTAACATAGTCTGTGTGCACTTTAAGTGCTGTGTTCTCCACACAAAATAATTGAACTGTTAGTTTCCTGACAATCCTCTAAAAAATTGATTAATTTTTTCGCCTCTGGGAACAGTACAAATGTTTTGTCTGGATAATACAGTACTGAAGGGGCACAAAGACAAGCCCTTGAAGTGAGACTGTTCAAAGGGGTATGGCGGCGTGCGCCCCAGTTAAGTTTTGAATTTTATGGCGTCTTCTTTGTCTCTGCTGACCTCCTTGAGACCTAATAATCAGACAAGTCGGTCGTATCAAACTTTTTTCCAGTTTTTGACGCCCTATACAAGCTTTGGCGCCCCTATCAAAAAGTCAGCTGGGGGGAGCCTGGCCCCCCTGGCCCTCCCTGCCAGGCCGGCACTGTATATGTATGTAAGTGTTTCGAATACCTGCACTTTATGGTACATCATCATGCCTCAGTGTACCTAATACATGTTAAATCAGTTGTTTCTTTTGTTAAGATTTTGATATGGAATCTCTTCATGATATGTTCTCCTGTTTGTTTCTTTTCAAAGCTTGAAAAGACAACCTTACAGGTACTTAGAACCTTAAAGGGAACCACACTAAACTTTTCCCTTGATGTTTGATATTGTTTGCGGGGGTTTTTGTTTGGGAATATTTTGCATTGATATCTGTCGAAACGGAATAATTTCTTTTGAAGGATCATTTTGCCAATGATGCAATCCTATGAATATGCTGGAGAATTTTCTGTAGCTGGTAAAATAAAAACTGCTTTATATGAAAATGCAATTTGGTATGGCAGCTACCTCCTAATATTTGGAATAATTCTTGTATATGTTGCTGTACATCCCAGTATGCAGCTGAATGGGTGAGTTTAGTCAAATTGTCCATCAGTTTTATACCACAAATTTGATGGCATTTTAATTTTTTTAACAAATTTTTAATAAAGCAGTATCAAGACAGTTTATAATTGGAATTAAGTTATTGAGAGGCTATAAGTGTAAGCTGTTTTTGCTCTCAACAGATTTGTTGCTGTGTCTTCAATTGAGTTCTAAAGATTAGTTTGGTACCATATTTGCTGCAATCCTAAAGCAATAATGGTTACACAAGATACAGTGAAAGCAATAATGCATTTCACTTTTTTTCAATGTGAGATAAGAAAGCATGGTTGACCCCAGTGTGTTGTTTGCTCTCAATACAACATGACCCATCCCAAGAAAACTACTTCTAGTTGAAGATCATCAACAAACTTTTGAAGTTATTCCTTTTGAGTTTCAACAAATTTGAAGTTCATATTGCACTCAATAGCACTCCTAAATAGCTCAAAGAATGAGATTTGGAATACATTTCTGGCTTTTTCTTCCCAGTGATGCCTGTGTTACAGTTCAAACAATCCAGGAAAACATCATTTTCAACTGTAAAATTATCTGGTTTGTTAATTGGTAATACAGAGAAAGATTAAAAAAATTTTAAGTATCATGTAACACATTTTGCTTGAACAATTTTTTATGAAGCTTTTAATATGTGTAATATGCTTTTAAGCTTTGTTATTGCCATTGTAAAAACCAGTTATGATTTTAAACTTAAAGTGAATCATAATCAAATAGACTTACATTTTTTAACAAGTGGGCAGAACCAAGATTAAAAACTCTGAGGGGCACGTTTTGCTGACAGTCTTCCAAAGCAAGTGCACTCTGGTTGGATCATCAATTTTCAAAATGAATTTATGTGAGAGAATGTAAGAAGAACACAAACCGATAAAAATAGTTGAATGCTCAATTTTGTTATCTGAAAAACCCAGAAAAAGCTTCTCGCTACAAATTCCAACTATCCAATTCAATCATTTCCTCCAAAGTTACTGGTGGATGTTTGAATTTGTAGATGTTTGTCCTGATCTATATTAATTAAGGGTGTATTGATTTACGGTCTGTTCAAAATTTTAGATTATATGAACTTTTTTTTTAGTTTTTATTGCATCCTTACTTCCATTCTCAATCGATTGCTTTTGCCTGGAACGTAACTGGACATATAACGGAGAAAGATAAAAACTGTTTTCTAGAAAATAGCTTAAGCTGCCATATTAGTGGAACTTTCGAAATCACCTAACTGTTTTCTAATGTAATGTCTTCATGTTTCTTTTTTAGTGAGCAGTTGCGAATAATTGGAATAACTGCATCAAACACTTGGGGCCTGCTTCTTCTCATTCTTCTAATGGGATATGGCCTAATCGAGTTGCCACGAACCGCTTGGAACATGTCAGTGCCTGGGTTTCTACTTTCTCAGACATTGTTTAAAATTTCAAAATTAAGCACAGAGAAAGAAGATGTTGAAGAAGAATTGACAGAAACCTTACAGGTCTATCTTTTGCCCCTGTTCCTTTTTTCTAATCTTGTTCAAAAGTGAACAACGCTCTTTTTTATTTCTATTTATCAAAGTCAACATTTTACCAGAAGGTTGTCATCGCCTCAATATTGTTTATATGTGGTTTAAATTTTTTGTTTGTGAAAATTGCAAAATGTGGAATTTTAGAATACTTTTTAGACTGTGGTAAAAGCTTCCGAAGACATTCGATACAACAGTAGCCTTCGCAAGTATATTGATACGATCATTAAAAAGGTAAGTGTCACACCATTAACGATTTTAGATTTTTGTTCCTTCTTTCCATCTCCATTCAGTCGATTATCATTGTGACGTACTGTCACAGGTAAATACAGGTATATCTAAAACTTCAGACTGCGGTAGCCTGTTATAGTCCTTCGTCCAGTCCAATTAAAACTGCTATTTGTCAACATAGAAAGAATACTGCATTTGCTACAAAGAAAGTCTGCTGCTATTAAAAAAACTTGGCTCATTTCATTGATTTGTTTGTGTCAGTGGAATGAACGTTATTATTGCGCCACTTTCTGGGGGTATTTATTCCGACCAAAGCCAGTAATTACAATCGGTTAGCATCCTTGTGAATATACGTTTCTTTCATAAGTTTGTATGTAGAATCCGTTCAAAAGCAGTAAAAACGTGAACTTTTGCCTTTGTATCTTTCAAGTGTCCAGATGCAAGTGAAGATTTATTTAGAACTGCGAAAGATGACTACGTTGATTATAATGACGTCAATGGGAAATCAGTTCAAATGCACAGCGAAAAATCGTTGGTCAGCCTACACAAAAAAGTCATCGTGATAACCCAACGAGCTCATCGTACCAACGTGTAAGATACAATTTCTTCTTTCTAAACATGTTCCTTTTCCCTGTCAGTTAATCGTGTGTCACTGTTTGTAATACATTTTCCTCTGAGTCTTTGGACGCATCGTAGAAAAGCCAGCTCTTTGATGTAAACGTTGTGTCAGAAATGCTAGAATCTATTGCGCTTTAGGCTTTGTAGAGTATTGTGACAAACAGACAGATTTTTGTTAGAATAAAATTATTTCTCAAACATGCCTAGGCTTATAGTCTTACCTGTGAGTTGAGATCTTGAAAAAACTACCTTTTTAAGACTGGGCATAAGAATTGAGTAAGTACCTACTTCTTGCTTCAGTCAGTGGAACATGCTGTTGCAGAAGGCAATACGGCTGGATGACTTGGAGAAAAATAGAGAAAGCCCAGACAGGTAAACAAAAACAGCAAATATTCTTTTCTCATGGTTTTTCTTGGAATAATGCAACTCCCGCTTGTAGTGTTTTTTAATAGTCTTGGTATTTATATTTCGATTATGGATGTATGTTGTATTTCAATTCGGTACATTTTCCTGAAATCGCTGCAATCACTGATTTAAGATCAGACATTTATGTTTTAGTCACTCAATGAAATCTAGCTTCCATCTTGTCTTTTTTGGCCCTCAATGATTTAAAAAAAATTGTATTTATAATCTGATCATGGAATCAATTAAGAAGCACTGTCCAGTGAAGTAATTGAATATTTTTAAAGCAATTCTGTATTTACTGTCAAGAATTTAGAATAATGATGTCATTAATTGATCCATTATTGAAGTTACAATGAGGTCAAGACTTCTTTGAATCTAGAATTCTTGATTCATGGATTCTTGGATTTTTGATATTCGGATTCTTAGTGTATTTTCTTGGATTCTTGGTTCTTAGATTGCTAACTTTTGGATTCTTAATTGCTGTATTCTTGGATTCCTGACTTTTGGATTCTTAATTCTTGATTCTTTGTTTATAATTCTTTGATGCTTAGATTTTTATTCTAAGATTCCAGATTTTGGGAATTCTTGATTTTAGATTCCTGTGTTTCGGATTCTTGGAGTTTTAATTTTTTTTATCGATTTTCAATGCACACTTTTGTTAAGCTTATGTTATTTAATTTTTCGCTTTACACTGAGGTTCTATTACCCTTATACTACACAAGCTTTGTAGGCAATTTCTCTTCCAAAATTTTATATTTTCTTGTACTTGATCTATTTGTTACATAAGATCTACCCTCTTTCTGTTGTATCAAACTTGCTTTTTGATTGTAGAATATTCAAAGCATCGTCTTTAACTAATCAGCAGAGTCCAAGCACCCTATCAGCAAAAATTGGTTAGTGTCCATCACAAAGTTGTTTTTCTTTGAGTTGGATTGTCGAATTCAGAACGTCTTGTAAATTACGATAGTTGTTGACCTACATTTTCACGACCTACATTTTTGCGACCTACATTTTGACGACCTACATTTTTGCGACCTACATTTTCACGACCTACATTTTTGCGACCTACATTTTCACGACCTACATTTTTGCGACCTACATTTTGACGACCTACATTTTCACGACCTACATTTTCACGACCTACATTTTCACGACCTACATTTTTGCGACCTACATTTTTGCGACCTACATTTTTGCGACCTACATTTTTGCGACCTACATTTTTGCGACCTACATTTTTGCGACCTACATTTTTGCAATCATAAGGCAATCGATACATACTCAAGTTGTTTGAATCGCAGTTCAATATGCTTGTGAGTGGTATTACGCTAAATGATTTGCAGATGGCTCAAGCGATTTTGATAACTCTCGATTGCCTTTAAGTATGATTTTGATCATCATGCTAGGCTTTACCAGCTTACAAATCCACTCTGTATTTACATGTCTTATAGCAATGATCCTTTTAATTATTTACAGTTGAAATCATCACAATAACTCTTACCTTATAGCTTTACTTTACCTTTAACCAAGGCTTTAAACATGATTTTCATTTTCTTGCAATTATTTCAGTGGTGATCTAATGAGAAGCTGTTTGCTTTTTTGTAGAATGGTTTTGGAAGCTGTGGCTCACACCTGCTTTGTTGAAGGGCGTGGCCCTGGTGCTGATGCTTTTTACTGTCATGCTTGTTTGGTCAGAAATGACATTTTTCAGCACTTCACCAACCTTGTCCTTGTTTGCGGTCCTCATCAGAGTGGCGAAAACTGAATACCTTTACTTTCAAGTCGAGGCAAGTGGCTTTGATATCTGTCTCTGATGGTTGCCTATTTTTTTCAATGCAAGCATTAAGGCTAGCGTATCTTTTGTATTCACGAGTGACAGATTTCTACAAAAGGTCGTTTCACACAGGTTTTTTGTAGGTCGAAACCAGGGGATCCCACGTCACCTGATTTCTAGTAATTGAAAATCTGCATTATTTAGAATCAGTTTTTGATTTATAGAATCAACTTTGTATCTTCTCAAAATTGAATATTGCTTTCGGCTTGCAAGGGTAATACCAGCGAATAAGCTTGTGCATTTTACTGTTTTATTTGTTTGAAAACTTTTTGAAAAGAACAATGCATTTATACATTGGGATGCTTTTTGGCAAACAACTTTTTGTCATGATCATAATTGCCTATCAGTTTTAACGGGCTACGGACACTTTTCTTTCTCTGCAACAAATGAATGCTTTTGTAATGATATGATGAAGTATTTATTATTTCAATAAACTAAATATATTTATCGTCTCCATAGGTGATATCATTCTTCACTGTAATGTACATGTGCACCTGTACATACTATACAGTTTTCAAAATGAGAATCTTCAATTACTACTATTTTGCACCAAACCATCAGACTGACGCCAATAGCCTACTCTTCAGCGGACTGTAAGTCACATTTACTAGGCCTATGCTCGTTTGTTTTAAGTACTCAAGTGATGTAAGAGACCTATCAGGAATTCAGAATGTCTCCGTATTAAAGGAACAGACATATGGGTGTCTGTAGCTTGCCAGGATAGGGAATTTTTTCTTCTTAAAAATAAACAAGACAGCAAATTTTTTCAATTTCTCATAAATTATGAAAAATTGAAAGCAACTGAAGAAACTCATTAAATTGAGCAATGTAAGCAATACAGTACAAGCAGCCTTTCCTCATAAACAAGCAGTCGTCTTGAAACTAATAGTCGCTTTGCCTAATTCAAAGATGCCTTTTGACGTACAGTTTCGTAATGGAAATACAGGAAACAGCAAGCCTTATTTATCTTTGTTCTGTTGCGTATGATAAACTTGATTAACAAGCTTATTTTTTATTAATGCGAGGGCATACTGCATATTCAAGCGGGATATTTTGCATGAATACCTGAGACCTACTACAATAAAAAGTTTCCTGAAAGGAGCTTTGTTCACACAGCGCAAAGGAAATCTTCTGCTTAGCTGACATTGCCTTTATAGAATAAGAAACATTGGTTGTGCCCCACAAGGGACATTAAAACTGCATTAAACTGAATGAAGGAGCTTTATGGAAGGCTAAAAGATTTCAAATTTTTTGGTGCACTACGAAAAAGTTTTGAATCTGCGTCTGTTTGTACGAATTTAATTGAACCTTTTTGTCAGCTTGGTTCGACCTTGATTTTTTCATCTTGTCATTTAATGGCTTTTTTGCACACTAAATGTTCTTCGTTTCTTAAATAAAATGACTCTTGTTAAGGGATTTCTATCCGTGGAATTTACTCTGTTTTAGGGTTGAAACCAGAAACTTCTATTTTGCATTGCTTTTATCCGCTCTCTTCCACAGACTGTTGTGCAGACTGACCTATGCGTTGTCCTTGAACTTCTTGGCAATGATTCATCTTGATGGCCATGTTGCTGATACGGTCGAGCAGGCTTCATTTACCGTTGTAAGTTGCTTGCTATTGATGCATTATTGATATTGAAATCGATCATAAAATGTCCTAAAAACAATTTTTTCAATTTCTTTCCTGATGCTTAGATACTTGCAATTGCTAGTACAAGATGCTTTTTTCAATTTTTTGACAACGGGGCTAGCAGCAGCAATTTCGTTAGTTTCCACGCAAAATGAACTTTGCGTAATAGACATAGTGAACTAGACTTAGACTGGAATAGTCTCCAATGAGACGTAAGCGGCATCAGAATGTGATGATAGTGACAATATTTGTCCAGCCTCTGTTTCATTTTAATGTTAGGCACGGCCGGGCACGATTAACCATCATGATATACATTTCTTAAGAGCACGACTTAATGTCGTCTGGGTACCGCAGAGCTCCTAGGCTCAATACCTAAGTTATAATGAAGCGAACCTGGTTCATTAATAGTTTCCTTTAACGTATTTTGTTTGTAAGTTTTCATATTGCGATTTCAATTTTTCTTGCAGTTTATGGGACACATGGATGTTATTTCATTTATATCAAAAGGCTTGAACGTCTACTACCCAATGCTTATTCTTCTAATCTGCCTGTGTACATACTTCAAAGTTGGAAGTCGCATATTACACTGCTTTGGAGTTCAGCAGTTTCTTGTCGATGAAGAATTATCAACTGAATATGTGAATGAAGGAAGGGACATTCTAAAGGCAGGTTGGTAAAGTCAAAGAACGAGCCTATTTGATACAAACTTTCGTTTTCTGAAAAAATAGCAAATTTTCTTAAATTCACAAAATCCACATTTCATGCAGCTTCGGTTATCTGTGAATATATGTTTTGCGTTCTTTTGTTCTCTGTTTTCTTTAAGTGAATTTTCTGGCTTGTATTGTAAGGGTTTAGGACTGTCTTAAAGGTAGTTTGGACAGGTTTTTATTTAACCTGTCCGCTAATTTCATCATAACAATTTTTTTATATATACCTATCCGTTTAACTATCTTCTCTTTGACCTGCTTAGCTGGATTGACTTAAATAAATGTTTTTTTAGCAATATCAAATTCCCTTCTCATCATTAACACAGAGTGTTCACAATTCTTTTTAGAGAAGCGAAGACTCCAGAGGTTGATAGGTGGAGGAAAAGTAAGTAGGCGTCTTGTTCATGACTCTTTTCTCTTCAGAGTTGCAGTTGATCAACCAGTTTGAACCATTTGAAGTAGAACGTCACCTTAGGATCTTTTTTCAGCAATAGGATCTTTAGGATCGTTTTTATCGCAAGATCCAACATGACCGTGTACCGCGCTCTGAACTTTCATTAAGCTCAGTGTGCATCCTATTCAGCGCAGTGAACGATTTTACAATTAATCAATACGCTCGAACAGTGCTGATTTTTATTTAAACAGCAAAGCAAAAGTTACCCGGAGATTGCTTTTTAACTTCTACCAAAGTAAGCCTAACCAAAAACTGACGTTAACTTTATCTGCAAAATGGATCAATTAGGTGTGTACGTTTATCCTATATTAAGAGCCTGCATTGACAAGAAAGCTTCCAAAAGAAGGCTCAGAATTTTATATCATCTCCTGTCAACGTTCAGAATCGGGGTTGAGAAAATCAAGAAAGAAAATATATACCTAGTTGCGGAACGAAATAGGCCAATCAGAAGAACGCGAGCACATGACCGGTATAGTTACCTAATCAGCACCGCGTGTCTATGGAAACGTGGTAATTTTTCAAAGGAGCTTAGTTTATCTTTAATTGTCTATATTATCTCTCTTTATCTCTGACTCATTTATATTAGGGTTGGGTTCAACGTGGAATGCAAATACGGCAGAAAATAAATCAAAGCAGCCAAAGGATTGATGATGCAAATGGCAGCGAGGATGAAAATTTGGAGAAAATCGATTCACGGACGCATCTTAATGTTTCGCATAGGCCTCATTACACTGAGAAAGATAATTGTGACCGCGTGACACTTCTTGATTCAATGGAGCGTCAAACCCCTTCGTTATCAGCACCAAGGACAACTGCTTACTCGAAGCAAGGGTCTCGTTCAGGTCCACCTCGAAATCTCTTTGATGACTTATAAGACTTATAAATAGGTTTGCATCAATTTTGCTATTTGAAAATTGCAACGTTGATCGACTCAAAACACTGTCTCGTTAGTGCAAGAATAATCGAAATTGCCCTAAATTTTCTATGATATTTTTGCTCTGAAGAACATTTCAAAACAGATTGAAGCTAAAATCAAATGTTTCCTTTTGTCAATTTGCTGCTAGCACGACATGTTTAAACATCGATCAAGTTGAAAAAAGATTATCATTATAATTAGGGGTGACCGTTACAGTTGAAATATTAGCCTCCCAAATAGTGTCGACATAATGTTTTCTAACGTGTGTAGTATTTTCAAAGTTAAGTTAATTTTCTCGTTTAATTCTGATGTTTGAATTTCTTTTATCACAGAGCATGACCTATATGAAGCCTCTCGTTCCTTGTAGGTTAAAATTGATTTCATCAGATTTATAGTTTGGGTAGTGTATTTTGACTGTACTGGACGAATCATTATTTAGACTGCTCGAAAGCAGAAGTACTTGATGATTAAATTTCAATCTTTTCATTGAGAGAAGTTATTAACTGCTTTCAGCTCGAATATTCAATTTTTTTTAGAATGAATTACAGTATTTATGTCTTGAGTATAGATCCCGATGTGTGATTTCTGTAGAGTCCCTGGTCCGTAAGTTTTTTTGCTAATCTCCGACCGTCTAACTGCGGTGAAATGACCATTGCTTGTTGTGCATGCTTATTATGCATCAACAGTGCATGGAATTAAGGCGTTGCGCTGATAGGCAAGGTACAAAACTTTTATTCATATCATCATCACAGAATGGTGTATAAACTTTCCGTTACCCATGAAACAAAATCTCACCAAGTAGACCCCAACGAAATCTGTTCTGTATTCTCCTTACATTAAGGGATACTCGGTGGTGAATTAGAATAACTCTTGCCTCCAGACAGTGTATTTCAAATACTTCTGGGTATCCCCAGTTCTCCATTCAATCTGGTGGCAGCTTACTGGTCCCAATGCAAGTTTCTAATCAACTTTAAATATTTCCCGTCATATTTCAGTGTGCACAGCATATATAGTTATGGAGACTGGATGCGAGAATATTCCATATTTGGCAAAAACAGCAAACAAAGCAACAAAAGTTTAGAAGTAAACGTTAGTTAGTTTGTTAGCGTGCATTAATTAAAAAGAAAAATAAGGGGGTCTTGTAGAAATTAAAACCAAATGTAAAGTTGCTGTTCCTTGACAACACTTTGCACGTCTCATATCCGGCCCCAAAAAAGTGGAATCTTTTTTTTCAGAAGTTCAACTATAATTCGCAGGCTTCCAATAAGAACGATTTGTGCACAGGTCTGACTAGATTCGATCTCACTGTCCTCACTTCTGCAGATCGCAAAAGTCCATTTCTACCAACATTTACTTTACTGACTCGATCCAATGGCCATCCACCTCTAGGAATGTTCTGCTCAACAGCAAGTACAATATTGCCTTCTGGAATAGTTCGTTTAATTCTCTGCCATTTTGTCTGTGTCCATCTTTTCCGGAACAAACTCGTCAAGTATCGTATCTGTCAGATTTTGTATATTTTGTAACAGATTTTGTAACATTAGGATCTTTGATTCGTTTACATTTAGTTGACTAGCCAATCAGAGAGCTCTATTTCTATTGCGTCATCTGATGGTGATGGCGGGAAAAGATGTTTGCTGTGGAGAAAGCCACACCCTCATTTTCCCTCGCGACGAAAATATACTTTGGCAACAACTTACAATTTTATGCACCCGTATCGAACAACTCTTCGCGCAGTCTTTCGCTATTGACAGCCCTTTTTGCACGCCAAACAAGAGCGGATTTCAATTGCGCTGCCTGCAGATGAAAGGAATGCTTCAAAAAGGGTCTTACAATGTTTTCAAAATCAATTTTCAACCTAAAACAGCTAGTTAGTGGATCTGCATCTGCAGCGCTACACCCTCGGGAGAAAACAAACAAAATCAGGTTGGCAAAATGTTGCCAAACTTTTCCACTTTTGGTCTGTAATCCTTTTTTATTAATATATGAATCCTATGCACTACAAGCCAAATTTATAATGTCAAATTAGCGGGCAGCAATAAAGTCAGGTGGCCAGTAAAACATGATAATTTTTTGCAAACTCGTTCTCAAGACAGAAAAACATTATTTTCATGGAGATACCACCGATCAATTAATAAACATTATTGCTGGCTGGTACAATTTCGAACAACATTTGGTAACATTTTACCAGTTTATAAACGTTCTTGCAAAGCAGACATATCATTCAAGGCAGGGTCATAAAGTTGTATTCTTTACCGCAGCAAGACTTGCTGAAATTGATCAGTAAATATCTACATTTGTAATTTTTGATCGTGCTTCTGGCAATATTTACCGACAGATTTTGAAAGTTCAATTTTGTGTAATGTACCTAAGCATTCTTGATCTTTTTGACCGTGACACATGGCCTTTGGCCCCCCAGGCCTAGTGGTACCCCCAGCCCTAGTGGTGCCCCCAGCCCTAGTGGTGCCCCCCAGATATATTTTATCAACCCAATTTTAATTTGTAATCATATTGCTCATTATCATTCAAATGATTCATTGTGTGCAAACTATATGAGCAGTTAGTAAAACGGAAAATATTGAACGCCAGACAAAAAAAATTGATTAACTGAAAAACTGTGTTGTATGAGTCTTTGTTTTATTCTTTTTTATGTCAACTATGTAAATGGTTTTATGTTTAGCACGCCAACTAACGAAGATTTTATATATGTCAAAAATGTCTTTTATTAGTTTGCACTCGGAACGCCGAAAAAACCTGAGTGTCCAAAGATCTTCGGACCTAAGTACATGGAATGCACCCTAGCAATCAATATAACAGCTTCTTGTTATTTGCATTGATGTGCACCCTGAACAAAGGCCACCCTTTCTTTCTTTCATTCCCCAACGCATGAACCCTCCTCTTCCAGATTTTTTCTTAAAATCAATAATGTTTTTCTGAGAATCGTCGAATTGTCTATTCTAAGCGGTATAATAATTTGTTAAATTTTAGTCTGGGAGATGCATTTTTAGCAATTCTAGAGAAGGCCTGATTTCAAAAATTTCCTTTCCCGTCGGACCCAACCATGCTGGGTCCTCCAATGTCACTAAACTTTATTCTTGGCCCCCCAGGTTCAATTTTGCGCCGCCGTCTCTGAAATATTCAATGGAATCACGAGATGGTAAACTGTTTCTTATAGAAATCCTTAACAATTGTCTTCATTGATCTCAAGGGAAGTCTGTTTTGAGATCATCTCTTTTGACGGACATCTGACCTATATCCACACCAAATTTCAAATTTTGCGGGCAAATGATAACGAGGATGGTGCCTCATTTAGCAGCGAGGCTGGATCAAGAACATGCTTTCAAGATGGCGAATGACTTGTTTGGCGAAGACCTCTTCTCTGTCTTCGATGGTCAAGATTCTCAAGAGACGAGCGCTAAGGATGAAGTAGCAAATATAGGCTTATCTACCAGCACTGCTCGTAAAAGAACTTTGGAAGACCAAAAAAGGGATGATGACGGCGAGGAAGTGGTTGCACCCAGTAGTAGTGTCCAAACGAAAAAACAAAAATCCGATGACCACGATCTTGCGTAAGTAGAAACAAGGATCGAGATACTTTCAAACAAAAACTTAAGTATGATAAGTAAGATACTTTTATTTTGTAAAATATGGCTATTTTTCACTTATCTATCAGGACTTGCCCCCCCCCCCCAAAAAAAAAAAATTAAAAGTAGTATACCAGTCTGCAGAGTATGGCATGTGCACACTGGAGATATTTTTGTGCAAAACCTGTTGCACACCAGATATTTTTTGGTGTGGCAACTAACATGGGTGTGGCTTGGTGTGATCCCATAGAAAATGTCAGCTGATAAAAACAAGGACAGTTGTGTATGAACAATTTGAGATATCATGTATCTTACTTGACAAATATACAAATAAAAACTTGCGCTATCTTCAACAGTATACTTCACACACATTTTTACGGTGAAATGCAAATTCACAAATTTTAACCACAACAGGGAAAAATAGTCGGTGCACACCAGCACACCAGACATTGTTGGTGGTGCACACCGCCACACCAGGCTTTTTGCTCGTGCACACCAGAGATCTCGTCGAAAAGTGCCATTCTCTGCAGACTGGGTAGTATATCGGTCTTTTTGAGTTTGTATCTCGATCTATCTGAAAGATGTTTGTTACTCGAAACGATGTTTGTATCTGAAAGAAGTACGCAACACTGCAGCTTGGTAACCCTTAAAAATGGTTGATAACGAAGAAGGGCCAATCTCATGAAGACACGTTCGTCCAAATTTTGGGATTTACCATTGCTGAAAAAAGAACTTGTAAAAAAGAAGTGTATTCGGGCAAAAAAATTAATAACTAAAATGTACTCAAAGGGAAAACAAATGTAATAATGAAAATTTAGGAGAGATAACCCAGCAAGAATATTTTTACAAGTTATTGTGTACGAAAAAATTCGCATTTTATCTGTAATAAGGAAATTATAGAGGAAAAAGAAAGGCCTTCTACAATTTAAAAAACATAGATTAAGTTACTATAAGAAAACTGCTTTAGATTGTAATATCTAATGAGATTTCGTTTGCAATTTCCAATAAGTTGCTCATTCTAGCAGGTAAAGCTTTCTTTATATATAGAAGTTTTACCAAAGTTTGCTATTGCAAATATGAATTCAAATGCAGTATGAAAACTTTCCCCAAAGAACCTTTAAACAAATGATATGTAAGACAATACAAACCACAAAATGTTACATTGAATGATATACAAATATTTTGATACAAAGACAATTCAAGATATGTTCTTAAAGATATTTGTCTAAAAAGGAGCTCTCTTATAGATAAACTAATGGAGAGAGCCACCTCCAACCCAACTAATTGAATTGCATTTTCTCTTATTATATTGGGTTGCATAAAATCTTTTAGTTGATATGTAATATGTTTTTAAAAGTTGTGTCATTCCAATTAATCTTGCATGTTGCATAATCAGTGCTTTTAAAATGGCTGGTGTATAATTCATAATATAAATCAGCTCAGATTTTCTCTTGCTGCTTGATTTTTAATGTTATGTTAGTTTTAAAATATTATGTAAATAACACATTTCTCAAGATCTCATTTACAATTTGCAGACAGTTTTACTCCTTGTTGATTTGCACATTTGCTACAGTAAAATCTTGTATGAAGTTGATTTTGTAACTTAAAACCTTTAGATTTTACAGTTTTTAATTGCTGTCACATGATTACAAGATCTGCTCTTTTGCAAACTAACATAAATGAATTCAAAAATTAAAAGGGTCATTTGTCATACATAAATAGTGTAGTACAAATAATATGATTGTGTGCATTACCTCTTGCTGGGTATCATCTAAAGCCAAGACATCATTCCTCTGCCTGTTATCCAAATCCAAGCTACCCTGACAGGAATATTCCAAGGATTAAAATTGATAGCCCTAAAAAAATCCACACATAGTTAGAAGCTGGCAATAAAATGTAGTCAACAAATATCTCAAAATAATTCCTTTGAGGCAGGTTCTGAGATTCTGGCTAAAATGCCTTTTGCTCTTCATTCTACCAGCCACCTGAAAGTGATATCTACAGATTCTTAGTTACTAGTTTTCCAGTAGTTTCTAGCAGGGGCGGACACTTGATCAAATATTGGGTGGGCAAGCCTATTGTTTTAATAAGATGATGTCACATTTCCCATTGTTTTAGAACCAAAGACCACTGTCCTCTGAAGTATTGGGGGGCAGTAGCCCCCCCCCCCCTTGCCCTTCCCAAGTGTCTGCCACTGGTTTCTAGGTCTGACAGGACTTTCAGGTTCAGAAATCAACAGGCATGGTAAAAAACACGTGTGATAAGAATGGGGTGTGCGAAACAAATTTATTTGTTAACACAGAGCAGAAAACATTTGAAATTAGAAATTAAGAAAAGGTCATTTGAAAATGGATCATTTTAATGGGAACAGCAAAAATGAAGTCATTTAAGACAGGAGTCGTTTAAAAAACGAATTCGTTCATCTACAGTTTCAAGATGAGCTGGAACAAAGGATATGAAAACGAACAAAAAAGTAATGGGAAAACCTTCCTTTTCGTTTTGGCAAAAACGGTGTGGGCCGGAGCAACGGAAATGGCTGAAATATAACGGAAACTGAATGATCGGAAAACAGAGACATACAAAAACGAAGTAGTGGAAACAATGATTCATTGTCAAACTTCTGTTTCTAAAAAGAGTTTCTTAAGTGGATTGACCTATCAGCAGCTGGTAATCATACTCTTCAAGATAAATATTTATCACTGGGCGCACAACTAATAATCGCTCTTAAAGGTAGCCTCGGGGCCATGTTTGCATTCTTATTCCCCATTGAAAGCCCTGTAGTCTGTTAATGTCTCGTTAGTGAAAATTAATCTCTATCGGTTCAGTAGCGCTAGCCCATTGACAAATAATAGTAGATATTTTTCTCAGCCTTTGACTCATAATTTCAATTGCTATTTCTTAGGTTGTTAGATATTCCAAGGGTTCAGGTGCAAAATGTTGAAACAATGGAAGCCTGTACTCATGAGGTAAAAATTTAAAGTTAAAAGTTTAAAATAACATGTCCATTGAATTTCCAAATTTCCTTTTTCTTTAAGCCAATAAATTATATGTATAACGATATGTTTTTGTGTTGACCAGGTTGTTATCCCAGAAGGATGTGATTATTCACCACTTCAGGCTATCAATGAAAAACCAGCCAAGGTTTGATATTCTTTTTCATAAACTTTTTTGAGGGGTTTTCATAGTGCTGGCAGATTGCCAAAGCTTCAAGGCTTCAAAATGATCAAATATCAATCTAAAAAAGTTATTGATAAATCCTATTATTAAATCCTAAAGACTATTATGCTATTCATAATCTTCAAACTCCTATGTGTTGGATTATTTATAAGCAAATTATTGTCATTAACTACACAAATTTAACTCCAGTTTTGACTTTTCAATTGAACACATCCTATTTAACAAGTATGGATTATTTTCCTGCAAAGTTGCTTTTTTCACGGTGTATTACTTGCAAACAAGACATGTGTTTGTGAGTGAACATGTAGACATAGAGTGGATGTTTATCGCCTTTCCTCTTGATTAGCTCTGGGGAGAGGATGATCTTATCAATAGCTTGCCAGGTTCTGCCACCACAGCAACAACAGTTTGTTGTTGGCAGGAAGGGTAGACATGTGATTATAAAATCTCTGCTTCAAAGTTTGGAAAATTTGAAATACTATCTTTGGAATTCAAATGACAAAGCTAGGACATTCTCTGCAAGTGATCTTTTCTCCATCCAAAGGTTGATATCATTATTGGATCATACGATTGTTGTTTACAACTAGCGGAAACTTAGAAAATTGAAAGCATTCTTAAAGATTGATAACCTTTTCAATCTTGTTGCAGGAATACCCTTTTATTCTGGACCCGTTTCAAAAAGAGGCTGTGAAATGCTTAGCAAATAACCAATCGGTCCTCGTCTCTGCGCACACATCAGCTGGCAAAACTGTGGTTGCTGAGTATGTACAACAGTTTGTACTTATATTTACTATGTTATAGTTAATGTAAGGCTTTAGAAAGGGAGTGGCAAAGAGGCAGTCGATTCATCTCCAAGTTTTTCAAAGATTTGTAATATATTTTTCTAAGTGTAACGGAATTGTCTTAAAGCAAGGTATGATTGTTTACCGAAAGAAATTTCCTTCAAAGGGACCCAACTGTGGTAGATAGCACCTATGAATGGCAATTGAATATGTTTTTTTTAGATGAAGTAGCTTAGTTATTTAGTGTGGGTTATCATATCTCCGTAATTTTGTTTTGCTTTTGTTTATTGTAAAGGGCTATTTCTATATATGTCAATGTTCTTTGATTGGTACTTTAGAAAAGAATTAACTTAAAAATATGGTCCCTTAAAAAGGTACCTAAGATAAAGCCTTCAATAACCCAACAGAAAGCAATTAATTTATTTTCAGTGAAGTTTTTTCTTTTTATTCATCTGCTGCTTCATCCCAAACAGAATATTCTTGCTAAGTTTTGAAGGTAACTACAGCCCAGTACTACTGCCCCGTCATGCCATGATTATAATTTCTGCATTCGGTGTTGAGTCTCTGAACGTCTTCATATTATTTTCGTTTATTCAGTTATTTTATGATATGCCTTTATTGCCAAAGATACCTCAGTTTGCTTTTCAGTTTTCAAATTTGCTTTTAAGAAAATTTGTTTATTAAAGAAAGCGTTGACGTGAATGATGTTAACCAAAGATTCTGTCCTGTTTCTTGGCACCTTACCCTTAAATTTGTTTGTGTTTTATTACCATAAGCTACTTATGCTCAATAATGAGAAGATTCGATAATAGTTATTTTCACATTTATTGTGTACTTAATTATGCCCATTTTTGCATTCTTGCTAGGCTAATAGTTGTCAAATTGAATTTAAGGTATTGTATTGCAATGTCTCTTCAACGAAAACAGAGAGTTATTTACACAACTCCAATCAAAGTAAGAACTATATTGTTTTGTCTGTTTCTATTCACTTGTTTCCAGGATAGTTTTTTATAAGAGCAAGCTTTATGTTTTGCCAACAACCACTTATATCATTTTCTTTGCATGCAAAATGTTGAGACCTTGATAATGTTTTGCCTCTTGAATTCAACACACAAAAAAGTAAAAAAGACTTTTATAATGCAACTGTTTCATATAAACCTTAAATGAATTTTTGTTTAGGCCATCTATGGCAGGACGTCTTTTGCCTCAAAAGAGTTTTTGAACATTGTCAAATCTTGTCTTTATATTTTCACAAAAAAGCTTTGTCTGCAATTCGAATTATGACCAATACTTCACCCTAATAAAATGAGCAGACAATAGTTGAAAAGACAATTTTAGTAACGGGAATATATTTGGAGGTGCATTCGAACTACTGAGATCAATAAGACACTTCAGATTTACTGTACAGTTATTTTGTCTATCTCGTCCACGCTTATGCTGCCTTTTAAGCGTGTCTTGACACATTAGTTATAAAAGGAGTCACAGGCTCAATATCCCATACAGCGATTCTAAACCATAGTTTTCCCTGTTGGAAATGTGTTAAGCGATTCACATGCTTCTCTCTTTCTTTTCAGGCACTGAGCAATCAGAAATACAGAGAGCTTTATGATGAATTTCAGGATGTTGGTCTCATGACCGGGGATGTTACAATCAATCCAAGTGCAAGTGCCTTGATCATGACCACTGAGGTAAGGTTTGAGCAAAACATTGCTCTTCTCGACCTTGTTGCCAATCTTATCTAATTCATTTAAACCTTCTAAGACTGAATAAAATACTTTTTCTTTTTGATTTTCTATCATCAACCTTAGCAAGTATTTTTAACATTGGTCAGGCCTTCTTGATGCTCTGAAGTTAGATACGAACTGTATTTGTATCCAGTTCTCACTCATCAGATGATTCTATAAATATCACTTTTTCCCCATTAAGCATTTATAATTAGGCTTGTGGGGTTTCAGTTCTATCAATGGAGTCTAGTATTTTTCATTTGTAAGAAACGTTTCCTGAGAAATCCGGTTGTTTGTCAAAGTGATAATAATAATAATAATAATAATAATAATAATAATATCATATTTATACAGGTTAACTTTGGTCAGCAACAACGTGCTGTTATCAATAAAGGACCTGTCTAAATTATACATGGATTACCGAAATAAAAATTAAATACATGATGAAAATGAAATCTTAAAAGTCGAAGTTAAAATTTTTACAAAAAGTCTTAAATCTTAGAATTGATGTTTCATTTCGTCACTTCATTTCGTCTGTTAGTTTATTAAAAATCTTTGCTCCTTGAAAGTAAAAGGCCTTCTTGCCTGCTTCTGATTGTACTTTGGGCAACACAATATTTTTTGCATTGGCACGAGTACACTGCCTGTGTTTTACTCTATTGAAGTAGTTTCGAAAGGCGAAATTTCGAATTGATCACATCTTTATCAAAATTTAAGGAATAAGATCAGACTTTAATCGAAATGCATATCTCTTATATCATTATCTAAAGGATCCGATTGAATTTGCTGTATGTTTGATCAGAGGTTCTCGATATATAGTGCATCAAATTCATTACTTTAGACAAAGCTACTGAACATTTGGAGACTTCAGTAGAACGATTCTCTCTCGAGCCTCTTCTAATTTATATTCTAGACTTTCCCAAACGGGGGGACATCAATTTCAATTGTACGATGCATTTCCTTTGTGAAAATGCCATAAACCTATCGTTTTTTAACAATTTTCGCTTATTCTGCTATTGGATGCCTTTTTCTAGATGCTTATCAAATATCTAGACGCATATAATTGATTTATACAATTTTTGTTGTTAGATTTTGAGAAGTATGTTATACAGAGGATCAGAGGTCAGTTTACAGTTCCAGATTTCCTTGCCTATTATGCTTTCAGTAACCGTGCAATTTATAGAATTCATTATTTAAAGAAAAGTGAGAAGCGTATAATTCTGCAGATGTATGAGGGTATTGCTGTGTGTTTTATTATCTTAAAACCCTTTGTTAAGTTTTTCTGTAATAATAAGCCAATATAAGTCATTTATTTGGAGATAACGGTAGCACATTGTTTACGTAGGTAGTTGCATATTTGGTGACTTCAACACTCGGAGTACCATTTTAATGTGAACTGGTATTTTACCTTTAACATTTTAGATGTGAGGGTCAGTAGTCCATTTTCAGTTTTTGAAAAGGAATAAGTCTAAACTGGTCCTTACTTCAAAGATTTCCGTACTTCTGGTCATGTGCTGTGTTTCCATTGATCATCTGTTGTATCATTTATGTTGCTCTTTTTTAGTTGATGCGTGAAGTTGCTTGGGTGGTTTTTGACGAAATTCATTACATGAGAGATAAAGGTTCGTTCGGAAACAACACCTATTTTGTTTGTCTTCAAACAAATTGTTTAGCGAGTATTTAAACCTTTTACATATTCTTTGTTTGATAACTGTAAATGTGACTGTAAAAGTTTCATTTTTGATTGTAAAACGACTTGAGTGTTCCTAAACCCTTTTTGATGCAAATGGTTATGATTTGCTCTCATATGCTTCCTGTTGAAATTGATATGTATGCCTCCTGTTGAAATTGAATTGCATAGATTGTTTCGCGTGGTCAATATACATCAGCTGCATTTGTTTGCAATTCTAGAAAGAGGAGTTGTTTGGGAAGAAACAATTATCTTGCTGCCGGACAATGTTCACTACGTTTTCCTGTCCGCTACAATTCCAAATGCACGGCAGTTTGCGGAATGGGTTGCCTATCTCCATAAACAGGTGCAAAACTTAATGCTATTCCATAATTAAATACATTATTGAAAAGCAGAGATTTGCAAGTAAGATCATAGATTAAAATGTTTAGATAAATGTTTTTTGGCTGACATTTAAGGCTGTGATCCTTGCTGCCTTTATTTGATGATTATATCTGGTAAAATCTCTTACTCTAATAATCAAATGTGTTTGTTTCAGACTTGTCATGTTGTGTATACAGACTTCAGACCAACCCCCCTGCAGCACTATCTCTACCCTTCCGGAGGAGATGGATTGTATTTGGTTCAAGACGAGAAGGTGACTGACCAACAACTTTTTCATGCCCTTTCCTATTCATTGCAGCTTTTCGACTTATAAAGTATAATTTTGAACTTGCATATTTTTTTACCAATGCTTAAGTTTGTAGAAGTGGAATGGATCTGGAAGCCTGCTCGTTATTTTTGTTTTTCAAGTTCTGAACTAAAATATGCTGCTGCGCAAATACTGTTTCACTGCACTGCAATATTACATAGACAAAGATTGCAAAATTTATTATACTTTAAATATAGTGAATCTTATTACTTCATTATTTTCATTCATTTTTTTGAGCATTCAGCTTATAAACTTTTAATTCAAAGTTCCACTTGTTTTTGTCTTTTTATAGAAACAATTTCGAGAAGACAATTTTGGTAAGGCTATGAGAGTGTTGCAAGACTCTTCGTCGTCGAGTGATAATAAGTGGCAAAAGGCAGGAAGAAGGAGTTTTAAAGGTCATCTTTCTTTTACACATTTCTGCATGGCATTTCCTTTTTTATCTATCTTTTCTATCACTGTTGAAGCCTGCAGATTACTCGATTTTCTGAGCTTTTCGGCAAGCAACGGACTTAAGGAAAAATAGAAGATTTGCCCCCCTTTTTCACCTGTATAACTAACAAGATTGTTCCACAAAGCACAGGGACCAGGGCAGGAGTTAATAAGCTGCGCGTCTTTTTCCTGAGACTCGCTTTTTTGCCTTTGTTGAAACAAGACCAAACATTTCCCTTTCGCTTTTTACCAAACTTCTTCCAGCTTATGCTGTTTCTTCTCATTAATTCTTTTCTTTATATTTCTTTTTCACCGAACAGGTCCGACTGATGTTCATAAGATTGTTAAACTGATAATGGAACGGAATTTCGCCCCCGTCATTGTCTTTGGATTTTCGAAAAAAGAATGCGAGGCCAATGCACTTCAGATGTCAAAACTCGATTTCAATACAGGTGACTTAACTTCAATTTCAATAATTTTTTCTCTTAATCTCATTTTTAACTTAGATTGGTGTCCCCCATAAACTATCAATTTTTTTCATATAAGATGAAGAGAAGAAGCTCGTCCAGGAAGTTTTTGCCAATGCCATTGATTGCCTTTCAAATGAAGACAAATGCTTGCCTCAGGTATGCAGGTTCCCAAGTTTTCTTTGTTGTTTACTTTTTATTACTCGCGTGTTGTGAGTTCTTTCTTGTATCCATGTTTAATTTATTTTTTTCTGTGATGTTTGGAATTAATTCATTAGGAAGTTGTCATACTTATTTCTTTAACGTTTTTTTAACTTTCAGAATTTTGCAAAGAAACCTTGACATTTTCTATTCCAAATTCTTTTTTTATTTTCATTTCAATTTATTCCCATTTCACGGTCTCCCTTTTTGAACGGAGGGACTCCTTTTAATGGAACGTGCATAAAACTCTACAAATTAAGTATATTATATTCTTATTGCTATAACAATAGTGAAATACATACTTAATACCCTATTCTGATTACAGTACCAAAGAAATGATATATCATTAAGATATAAGATTTTTGAATGATTTAAAAATAATAATAATGGTAATAATAATAGTAAGAGTAACGGAGTAATTTAAAGTGTGATGCTCGCCTGTCTTCCTAATCCAAGAGATTTAAAATTTTTGCAGTTTATCTCAAGTTTTTCAAACTGCATTTCAAATGTTTTGTTAAAATTTTGATAGGCAACCTGATGTAAGGCTGATTGACTCATAAACCATGCACGTTTGTAGACCTTTGCTACTGTTTTGCACCACTTTCAACCTTAGTTGGTGATTGGACTTTTAAGTGGTATTAAAAAACTTTCTCATCCGCTGTTATGAATTTTGAAAGCAATTTATGCAGAACTTTTTTCAGATTTCATTATTCCGTGAAAATTTCTTAGGTGGAAAATATCCTTCCGCTATTGAAGCGGGGAATAGGCATCCATCATGGCGGACTCCTTCCAATTCTCAAAGAAGTGATAGAGATCTTATTCTCCGAAGGCTTAATCAAGGTAGAGTTTATCTTAGTTACATGTTTACTATATGCTATATATAAAATCCTTTTGTTTCTTTTCATTAAATTTGACGGAAGCACAATGAGAAATTCCACATAACCCATAAAGAATATTATGGAACATCGTAACAGCCTATTTCTGTTTATCCCGAGATATGCGCCGAGGCGTTTCTATAATGGCATTTTCTTGACTGTTTTCAACTATTTTTGCAGGCGCTCTTTGCAACTGAGACGTTTGCCCTGGGACTTAACATGCCAGCAAGGACCGTTGTCTTCACAAATGCTCGAAAATTCGATGGCATCGACTTTAGATGGGTTAGTGCATAATAAATATATCTACAAGTGCTCCCTTCCAATAAACCATTCCCCTTATTCCTTCATACACAAGTGAGCGCGAAATGCATTCTGTTTCTGGTTGTTATACCCGTGAACATATGTATATAAAGTTCTGTTGTTATTGCTCGATCTTTGCTCATAGTATCAAATAAAACATCGACAATACGACAGATCGTTAGCACTTCTTTAGTTTTACGGAATATACCGAACAGCACATACCTAGTTTATTTAATGCTCTTTCACGGTTCCCGGGAACCAATAGTGCAGAAATTCATTTTGACGAAAATCTAACAGCAAGCAGCAATACGACAAGGCCTAGGCCTAACATACACGATGTCGAAAATTGAAGCAGTTCTTGGGGGAGTTACCTTTTCTGTACCTGATAACAAGGTAACTTTGTACTGTCGCCGTGGAGAAGATATGCAACTGCTCGCGGGTTCTCTCGCGGGTTCTCTCGCGGGTATGACTAGAAGTAATAGAATAGCTTGAACGCTCATTTGAGAGGAACTTAATAAGGAGATAGGTACATTTGTTGCAATATTGCATCAAATAACAAAGGAAGAGTTCTACAACCTCTTGATATTTAGGGCTGATTGAATTCTTTGTGAATTGCGAAACAGAGTAGGGTTTTAGTGATACGAAAATATTTGTAAGAATCAAATTTTTGTCAAACTTTTCAGATCTCAAGTGGCGAATATATCCAGATGAGTGGCAGAGCTGGAAGGCGTGGGCTTGACGACAGAGGCATTGTCATCTTGATTGTTGATGAGAAGATGGGGCCAGATGTCGGAAAGGGGCTTCTAAAGGTTTGTCTGCAAGCAATTCCTATGCGATTTGTGTTTATCCTAACGGCGCTTCCGTTATTCTTTTGATCCCAAAATGGCTATACAAAAGATTTAAATGTACTCGTAAAGAAATTTATTTGATAGAAAGTTTCATGTATGCTGTTCTCTGCCCTTGACCATTCTTTGTTTTACTGTCCTCGTTATTTAATTTACTTTCATCACAGGGAGCCGCAGATCCTCTCAACAGTGCCTTTCGTCTAACCTATAACATGGTGTTGAACCTTCTTCGATTGGAAGAGATTAATCCAGAATATATGCTCTCAAAGTCGTTTTATCAGTTTCAAAATTATGCTGGCATCCCAAAGCTTTTAGAAGGTAATCCACGTATCTCAACCCATGAATTTCTTGTTTACGTCATTCAATGCCTCTCGAACGATCCGCTTTAATGTACAGAGGTTCTACATTTTTTCGTATTCACCTATTGATTTCGATACTTATTTTAACTGTACCTGTTTTGATGCAAATTGTTGCTTTGATTTGCAGAGCTTAAAGAAAAAGATAGGAAGAGAGACGAAATCGTTATACCTAAGGAAGATACAGCCATGTCTTACTACAAAATAAGACAGCAGCTAGATAAGCTTTCAAAAGAATTAATGAAGTTCATCCATCAGCCAAAGTATTGCCTTCCCTATTTGCAGCCAGGGAGACTTGTTCAGGTGCGCTGCCTTTGCTGGGTCGTGTGCTCCCAAATTTTTCTCTCTTTTTTCCTTTAAAGAATGAAATATTTTCATCTTTTGTCCAGGTTTCCCTGGTACTGCTCAGCATATCCTTTATTCGCTTCAATCAAATATAGAACTGAGACTGAGCTAGAGATACAAACTTGCATTCCTACACGAGAAAACGACAGAAAAGCAAGGGATATTATGGGGGCCCGTTTAATTCAAAAGTACATTGAATAAATAAATTGAAAGTTAAATACATTGATGCACCTTGAATTAAATTCGCTGTACTTCAATTGCTATTAAATGATACAAAATTAATAATGGAAGTTTTTCAATAAATTGTCGTAGGTGCTGAGAATTAATTAAGATTCCAAAGGGATCACAACCGCCTTCAGGTCAATTTCTTTACAGCTAGGAATCCCGATTGGAACCGCTCCCTTTGTTACATAAAAAGGCAAAGCCGAAGCATTCCAAAACTGGAACGTTTTGATTGAAACAGGTTTAATGGATGTTTTACTTCTATGCAATCACTTAGCTAAAATTTCATTGCAGGTGAGCGACCGTGATCAGGATTTTGGCTGGGGATGCGTGGTAAATTTTCAAAAAAAGAACAACCAAAAGGTACCTGATATCTTTATATGTCGTAGACCGGCTGGATTTTCCGGGCTGATGGAAGAAATTTATACTCTACCTGCTTTAAGAGGGTGATTGTATCTCTATTACCTCCTACCAATGATTACAAGTGGAATGCTTACGCCCAAAACTGCGCTTTAAAGAGCTGAAAAATGCTTCTTTTCAACCTGAGCCTCTTATTTTATCATGTTTTTTGCAGATTTGCGTTGTCACATTCATTTCATTTATTATCATGTGCCCTGGCATTATCACTGTCACTGTCACATAATCCGGTATTAAGTTTTTGTTAAGGCATAGTTTTTTGAATTTTTTAATATGATCTCTAGATCGTTGACAGTGCTTAAATCTTGTTCAAGAAGCAATGTAGTCGAAATCTTCGCAGTTGCAAAGATTACTTCTCATTTTTTGCAATAAAGGTATTTTGTTGAGTTTAATTCTCAGCAAATCTTTAAATGTGAAGCAAATTGGTGGATATATAATCTATGGATATATTTTGTCAAATTACCCTCTTTACCATGCGTTTTTCTTTGTAGGACGATTTTATCTAGGCTTAACTATATCCCTGGTGGAGATTTGCTTTGAAATATTTAAAGCTGCCAATAGAGTTTATTTCTAGGGAGCCAGTGCTAGTCTAGCAAGTGAAACAATATACATTGTCGAAGTTTTGTTGAACTGCTCTAAAACCACAAAGAAAATGGCAACTGGCGAAGTTCCTGTACCATGTCAACCAGGCGAAAAGGGGGAAATGGTGGTATGCTTGCTTAATGTGCCAAACTTTTTAAATATCTTTCGGTCTTTCAATCAGTTTATCCTATACAATCAGTGTATCGCATACAATCAGTTTATCGCATACAATCAGTTTATCGCATACAATCAGTTTATCGCATAAATCTGCATCGCAGAATAGCTCATTAGTTGATATTTTTGTTGCATAGCGTTTAAAAAGGTCACTTAGCCTAGTGTGCTTCTTTATGGACCTGCAGAATACTTGAATTGACGTATATAAACTAAACTGCTGAAAGCAAAGCTGGCAATAGCCAATGAAGTAAAAAGCTGCCCTCCTCCCTTATTAAATGAGTTGCTTTTGCAAATCGTCTGTCCTGCTGAGCCATTGGTTTTACTTACTTCAGGTGGTTCCAGTTCTTATACACTTATTGCAATCCATAAGCAGTATACGTTTATACCTTCCAAAAGACCTGCGACCCCTGGATGCAAGAGAGACAGTGAAGAAGTCAGTTCAGGTAAGATGGACCTCTATTTAATGGGAAATCACACAGAGCTCCGTGCAGGTACGACGGGAACCTAGTTTAGAGAATTTGTTTAGGTAGGGGACCAATTTGGTGATAGGGAGTAACGCTGGAGACAGTTATGCTAGGACGAGGCAATAAAGCAAGATAGTGACATTTCTAGTGCATCCACTGGTTAGTAGGTTATAGGTTTTCCTAATTGGCTAATTTCGGGAACCGTTTTAAATGTTAAGTCGCCACAGGATTTGAAGCCTTGGAAGAGGCAGTTCGGAGAAAACGTGTATGTTTGTGATTTAGGCTGCATTCACACTGTGCGCTTGTTGAAGTGCTAGTTTATGCTTGTTTGCAATTTTTGTTTAAAATGCATTCATGTTTACAGAAGCCCGCCGAATTTGAAATACGAGAACTTAGAGTAAGCAGAAACCTGGTGATGAAATGAGGTCTAAAAAAGGATTATTCGGCAGATCTATCCCCCCATATTGTCAAATAGCATCTAAAAGCTGGTTTTTTATAGATTGCAGTGAGTGACCCTTTGCCTGCACGAGCTTCTAAAGACAGTCTGTCCCCTCAATAATTGGCTAATATGAAAAATTGGTCTTCCCGCCTTAGCGGATTACGCTGCTCAGTTCGGCTGGCCTAGCTACGGTAGTGGCCGACATTTGAAACTGCGAGCAAAAAGCTATCGGAAGTTGCAAGAAGGTTTAATTACTGGAATTGAATGATCACATGAAAGCCGTTCCTTTCGCAGTTTACATATCTTTCGCACAAACCAAACATGGAATTAAATAAAAAAATGTTTGTAGTCACTCTTCAACGGGAACACAACCATTGGATTTAAAAGATCTGGAAACAAGGTTTTTTCTGATTAGTTTAATTCGTTTGATTATAGATCAACCTGAACAGTTTGTGAATTTCACTCCTGTGAAATAAATGTTAAGGACAATAGGGGACAGACTGCCTTGAACTAAACTGGCAGCTAACTAGCAGGCAAATTCGCATTAACTAGTGCCTTTGTCAAAAGTCTCATAGCGACTGAATGAACTTGCAAAAATTGTGCAGTGTGAGTGCAGCCTTACTATCGGTGTTAAATCTTGTAGATGACGAATGCTTTTTACCGCAGATTTTACCCCTTTTAGTTGCGGCCAAAAAAGATTGATTCATTGTACCAGTAGTTTGTTTTTATGTTCGTGGTACAAGTTTCTTCAACCCAAGCCCACTCTTTATTTGAAATAATCTGATTAACAGAAGCATTTCCTTTAAATCGTTTATTGATGAATATTCTTAACATTAAAGGAAGTTAAAAAGCGATTCCCTGATGGCTTGCCTGTACTGGATCCAATTGAAGACATGAACATAAAGGACGAACAACTGAAAAAGATTGTGAACAAAATCGAAGTATTGGAGCACCGCTTATACAATCATCCATTACACAAAGATCCAGACTTGGAGAGACTATACAACTTATGTGCGAAGAAAGCTAATATTGATCACGAAATGAAAGCCGTTAAGCAAAATCTGAAGAAGGCAAAAACTGTCATTCAACTCGACGAGCTTAAGTGCCGCAAGAGAGTCCTCAGAAGGTAGCTGCTAACTTTCGTTATTTTCTCTTTTTAAGACGTGTTATGATCCAAATAATAATTTCCATGTGATTTTTACTATATAATTCGCATTAAGAATGACATGGCTGTGTAATTTTTATGATCTTGCGCAAATAATCTTGAAGTTAGGCAGATGTGATGCTGACAATGAAGACCAGATTTTATCCTATGCAGGGAATTTTTTCACAAAGATATAGTCTTTCAGTACTTTCCCCACTCATTCTTGTTGCAACGTTTGCCGCGCTCTTTTTCAAAGACTTTGTTGATGACTATTTTGGTCCTTGCCAGGCTTGGTTACGTCAACGCTTCTGACGTCATCGAGCTGAAGGGTCGTGTGGCGTGTGAAATAAGCAGGTAAGGCTATGTCTTCATCGTGTACTTTGCTGACACTCTTCGTCGTAGATAATGAAATATCTCTTGCTAAAGCTGCATTGCTTATCGCTTGCCAATCAAAATTGCACTGCAACCATTCAAGGTGGATGCAGATTTAATTTGATAAGGTTTAACGTGTCTTGTTCATCATTTGAGTTGGACGAGACCAAAACATTTAGGACTTTATCGAATTGAAGGATTAGATTTGGACTATTAATTCAAATAGCAGAAACAAGTCTGACCTGCTGCTATGTAGCTTTTCTTTAATGATCTTGCTCAGGGAGGCATGAATACGCTGCGCAACTGCATCAATGAACTAGATGCTCTTTTATCGGCTCTTAGGATCGTTCTTCTTGAATGTTAGCTGCACATGCAATTCATTCTTTGATAATGAAGGCATTGGGCTTAAGTCGCACCATTTTGGTAGATGTGATACCGTTTTTGCGTAGGTCAGTTGTTCGCCTAATACGATCTTCCACCCTGTTGAGAGTTGCAAGTTGATCTTAGGGCCTACGAACTTCAACTCCGTGAAAGCGTTGAAGCTATAAACCCGAGCACAGGCTAGTGTTTGAGTAGCGTATCCTTGCTGCATTTTCTAACTTAGAACGTAAACAATAGATTAAGCGTATGGATCTCGAAAAATCCATTTGAAATGTCATATCCACTCATCCACTTTCGACTTCTTGTTTTAGCGCAGACGAATTGCTTCTGACTGAGATGATTTTCAACGGTGTTTTTAACGATCTGTCTTCAGAGCAGTGCGTTGCACTGTTGAGCTGCTTTGTATTTCAAGAAAAGGTTTGCCCCATATCATATGTACCCTAAAGTTCCAATTAAGAAAGGCTGTTTTCAAGTAGATGAGCCTGTTTGCTTTTGTAATCTTCCGTAAATTACTTCAGAATCGTCCTTTGAAAAAGGCAGATGAAGACGTTTATCGAGTAATGCTATTCTCATTTCTGGCAGGCCGATGACCCCACACAAGTCCAAGAAGAGCTGGCAGGGCCACTGAGGCAAATGCAGGTATAATCAATGTATTCGAGCCGAGCTTTTCTTTGCATAAATCATTCTCCTTGCCTGCGACAACGTCATGACAATTTTCTAAAGTACATACTTCCCCAACAATTCTCAAATATCTAATCATTTTTTGGATCTATGATAATCAGATTTAGATGTTGAAACATTTAGCTTCGACCGATCTATTTTGTTGTGCTTAGGAATCTGCTCGACGGATCGCAAAAGTTTCTGAAGAGGCGAAAATGGACATTGACGCTGACCGATATGTGGACAAATTTAAGCCAAGTCTGATGGATGTCGTTTATTCTTGGTGCAAAGGTGCTTCATTTGGGGAAATATGCAAAATGACAGATGTGTTCGAAGGTAGGTTTCATTAAATTGATACACCGGAAAAGTGGTTCAAATCTTAGTTTTGGGGCAAAATAATGCATCTGCAGGAATGATGCCTTAGACATAAATTTGTTGGTCGAGGAGGATGGGGGCTACGTTTTATTGTTGAATACGAGTTAGTGCAATTTTGCATCTTCACAGGTCACTAAACCTATCTTTAAAATATTTTTTCTATAATAACCACCCTTGACGGGGGATATGAAAAGGAGTCCGCATATGAGATGCAATGTTTTTGTCAACAATGTTGATTTTATCTTCTGTTCACTTTGAGCTCTTTTACAATAGGAAAACTAGTATTTGAGATTATTCGATCACTGGTTTCAATGCAACTCAACATTTGGTTAACTTCAATTTACACCAGTTTACTCTATTGGTATTCTGTTCCATTGTCACAGGCAGCATAATTCGCTGTATGAGGCGTTTGGAGGAGCTACTACGTCAGATGTGTCAAGCTGCCAAAGCTATTGGCAATACTGAACTGGAAAACAAGTTTGCCACTGGTATTACAAAACTCAAGCGAGATATTGTGTTTGCAGCCAGTTTGTATCTTTAATGCTTCTGTATACATTTTCCGTAAATATTATTATATTTCCTCAATAAAGTGACAAAGGTATTATTGCAAGGCGATAAAGAAATGGGATACTTGGTTTTATTTTTTCCAAAAAAACTTTTCCGTTTTCCTCGTAAATCTTTAGTTGTGTGACATCATTGTTTGTCGTCAGAATAACCATTTTACCCTGTAATAAATCTTATTTTGAACAGTTTCCCTCTTGTCTTTCTACCAACGAATTATTTCGGGTGGCAGTTTTATTTTCTTTAGATAAAGCCAATAATGTGTATTATTATGAATAAATTGGTCTAAGAGCTTCTTCTGGTTTCTTATCCATTATTTTTTTCCTGCCTGCAAAGTTTTAGTCTCTATCGATTTTATCCAAACATGTAGCTAGCAGATAATGGGTTTTTTATTTATTTCATTTATAAATGAAGATAATTTAAAATTTTACTTTTTGGTTATTGGAGATAAAGCGTTTATATTCCAGAAACGATGCTGATAAATCTTGAGATTTTTTAATTTCATCTCACCAAACGAGCAAACCAACCAATACGGACAATGAATATGATTTCCTAGAACTGCTTGACAAGAAAACTGACACTAAATGCATGCAACATCCTTAAGAGTGATCTATACTAGAAAAAGAATCTAAAACAGACCATATAACAAACAAAACATTATGAAATACCTCTTAATGGGCCAAATAAATTGAAAATGCTACAGATTGGCAAAAGTAAGGCAGCAGAAGCAGATTGGCTCAGGCCCCATCAAACCCTCGATCAAACCTCTGTAGTTTAGTCTTGAGTCTTGGTTCATAACTTTACGAACCTGGCCAGAACAACATTTATTCGTTAGCAAATTTGAAATCTTTCATTGGTCATATCTCACTCAATTTTGCACATAACTAACTGAACTGTTCTTTCAGATTATGTGCTCGAACTAAAGAAATTCTAAAAGTAGATTTTTGATGACGTCACTCTGATGCTCTTTTCTGACTGGTTCTTGTCATTTGTAAGTGAGGCAACACACAACACGGATGCATGGTTGAAAAACCTTCTTAGTTCATTTAAATACGACGAATTTACAAAATCGTCTCTGTATAATGTTACTTTTTAAGGGAATCTTTTATGCCTGTTTCGAAAAAAAAATTATTTAGGTTGAAGGAAGAAAAAGCCAATTTCACACGTTCAGTTTCAAAAACCGTATTTTTGTTGACGCGATGTTCCCTCTCTGTATTTGGTTTTTATTGGCATTGATATTTTTGTTCTTGCAGCCTCATTCGAAGACTTTTGTGGTAGGACTATTAAGCATTTTTCGGAAGAACTGCTGTTGTGACAAAAAGAATTGTTAATAGGGGAGCCCTAGGGGGAGCTTTTGTTTTGATCTTTTTGATTGGAAGCTTGACCTTTTGAAATATCATTTCAGTAACTCAAAGAACACTATCTCTGCTTCAACCCAGATCTGTTACTTGATTTTTTTTGGTCACAGGTATTTGTGAAATTTTTCTGAGTGTAGAGGACTATCGCAGAATGCCCTTGCTGCATTTGTTGGTTAATCGACATAGGAAACCAATGCCGACAGTATCAGGGATATTATGCTTGTTAAGTAAGCATGCTTTATTAAGCAAATCGTTTGTAATAGGTACATTTCTCACAAACATTTATCGAACAGCAAATAGCAAGCATAAACAAAAATAAGATGCTTTCTTTGTGTGTGTTTAGGCTATTTAGAAAAAATGCAGATTAGCAAAAAAAATGATATCGAGCGCAAGCTGAGAATTAAGGAAATCACAAATTTACGAGTATTGTGCTTTTGCGAGTAATTTGCAAAAAATTGATACGACACACATTCGTATCGCAAGCGATGCATTCATTTTAACCAATTTAATACCCATAAAGAAACTAATTGAAAAATCTGTGCATAATCCTTCCTTTTTAATTAGCCTCGTTCAAACTAGGCTGGTAGTGGTAATAATGGTTAAAAGCTGTTGCAAAGTGAAGGAAATCAAATTAGTTTGCTAATGAATTGCACTGAGATGTGTTTTCTGTGGTTTTTTTACATAAAGGGATAACAAGCCAAAATCACGAAAAGTTTTATCTGCTTTGAAAAATCCTTTTCTTGCAAATTGATTTTTTAAAGGAATGGCAAAAGAGAGAAGACTTTGTCGTCCTTACTTGTTATTTCTTAACAACCTTGTTACGCATTGTTTTGCTATTGTTGTATGGAGAAATTGTCCTCGTTCAGTTGATCCTTTTAAGTTAATTTCTTTGGGTCACACTCATGATTTTCGGAAAACACATATTTGCTTCTTCAATCCTGTGATGCTTTATCGAAGCTTCCGATTTGAATGCTTTCCTTCATATCTTGTTTTACTATCATCTGGACTACCACTGTTAACATAAACATTTGATCTACTGCAACGACTACCATTCCCTCCTTCTCTTTTCCCTCCCCTCCCTCTTCCTCTTCTCCCTCCCTCTTCCCTTTGTCCCTCCCTCCCCTTCTCCCTCCCTCTTCTCCCTCCTCTTCTCCCTACCTCTCCCCCCTCTCACGTCTCCTTTTTTCCTTCTCACCTCCCCCTTCCCGTCTCCCCCACCCCGTCCCCTCAACACTCACACACAGGCTAGGTCAAAGCTAATCAAAGCTAATCAAAGGATAAATACTAAGAACAAACGATATCAAAATCGCTTCCAAAACAAAACAAGTGATTTAGGACCAGCATTCTTCCTAAACATTTCAGAGACTCTTTCAATCTTTTCCTTTCAGAAGTTTCCACTCGAAGGCTTTTAACACTATTAAATAAATGATAATACAAATATCAAAATTACTCTCAGAATCATCAAGAACTAATTCGTGCATTCGTCTTCATTGCACCTGTTAATGTGGAAGACAATGATTTTCTAACAGACAGGTGTGAGAAGAGAGTTCATTCAATTACTTTCAATGTAAATACTGAGCACTAGCTTTGACGCATGTTGCCAGGATATCGACTGCAATAAAAGAGCAACGCAAAGTGTACGAATTCAAAATCCCGCTGCTCATTTGGCGTTCATACCTCGGCGACATCTTTAAAGGCAATCTCACATCAACGCGCGGTGTTTTCTTTAGCCTTCAATTTAAACACGGTTTAGAAACGGTAAGTTGAATGCTCTGATTATCTGCATATAGTACGCCCAATAAAGGTTGTTTTTATCATTTCTTTTCATCATCAAAGTGCTTAAGCATCAATTCTACAAACGACGAATAAATGGTATAGCTTTGCAATAGTCAGGCTCTGCAAACATTACCCTGTTGATTTTATCTTGCATTCTCTAAACATGCAATTTTTATAGCGACTTCTTTGCAATATCATCCCCCTACCGTGATTTTCCTGAGATAATTTCCCTTTTAGAATTAATTCATCATACTGAGAGTTGGAATTCAATGAATTGTAATCTAGAATGTCGATTTTTATTAATGGGCTTTTTGACATGAATGCAGGCAAAATGCAAAACTGCGATTGCTGTTGCAAGCATGTCTACCGGAAAAGGGTCAGTCTCTTGGACCAAGATTCAAACCGTTTCCTGAAAATATCTAAGCTATATGCCATTAAAGATGAGTTTGAAGAGAGGATGCAAACAGCAGAAAACGCGCAGAAACCAAGCACGTTCAGCATTGATGCCATTCTTTCAAAGCAAAGTAAAAGTCACAACCAAGACGATGCGGACAGGCGAGAGAGCAGTCCAGTAATGCTCAGTGAGCGCATTTCTAGAAGCAGCCTTCACAGACCGCCTCATGCACGTGTTGACATGATGGGTTCATGTTGCACCAGAAACCGTCTTCCTTCCAGAACCCAATCACCCTGCCATCCCCATTATTATACCTTGTATCGCCCAACTCGGCTTTTCGACTCCAGTGACCGCAATCACTTCCAAAAAAGCCCGTTTGAAGAACCAACAATGGTACCAATTGGCAAACAAAATCTGTCTCCTGACCGATCTGACTGTGTAGATTGCAGCTATTCAGAAATGCGAAGATTTACTCTGGGTATGTTTTTAACTGCAATTTCTGCTTGTATCATTTCATTTGCAAAATATTTTCAAAGATCACAAGATCAACTCAGACCAAGATATAAGGACACAGATTGATGGAATGGGTCTGAAGTTCACCATATTTTCGATCCGCGATTGGTCAAATTATTAGTATCGTGATTGATTTATTTGACCTATATCAGCTCATTGCTATTTTTTACTGTTGTGGCTACCAACATTTTTTGAGAAGAATATATTTGATGTTTGATTTAATAACTTATCTTTCTCCGGTCACAACACAACCTCCAAGCTTTGCAATCAGGCGCATGTATGAAGGATAATACTGCGAGAGCATACACTTTTACGCCCATTACGCTGTAGTTCACATTATTGTGACTACAGCACATAGAACGTATGTTTTTAAAGATACTTTTCAACAAACTTTATGCAGGAAAATTGCACAAGTAGGTTAAAAAAGTAAAACGCTTTAAACTTTCTGCAAAAAGTTTCATTCCATATAAGAAAACTTGACAGTATGGATTTGCAATCCAGGAAGAACACCCGAAAGGTTCTTTCAACTTGAAAGAAATATTTCGAAGGGATTTTCTTCAGCTTGTTTCAGTATCGAAATCAACATGCGAGAAAAATACCAGGTCGCATACAAATGCAGATAGAATGAACCTGGCAGTCTAAGTGGAAAATGTTGTATGCACATGAAAAGATGCGAGATTTATCTCTTTCTCGGTGATTTTGAAAAAAAGTCATGCACATTTAAAGAACCATATTACAAGAAAAAGTATTTTAGAGGCATTGAAAGCTTTGAGGCAGATCGTAAGGTGTAAGAAAATACTCCGCTTTGTAAATTTTAGATTGTAATCAAAGGAGAAGGGGGCGCGAGGGGTCAACCGTCCCTGTTGCCTTTTGATAGGAGGGCAAGGGGGCCAGAGTGCCCTTTTCCTTAAAGTGTCCTTGGAACCGGCCATTTGTAACAATAAGGGAGATTCTTATGAAATTCTAATTGTAGTGCCTAATTCATGACGACATTCCTCAAATCTTGTAGAATAATTCCTTATGCCAAAAGTTAGCCAATTTTCAAGATACCTACAGATGATCGAAATAAAATGGCAGTTTCGAAGGAATTAGTAGAAGCTGGGAATTATCTTTCAAATGCCCTTTTATTCAAGCCTGTTCCTCTTGCCGCTGGATCGTTCCGGCGTCCCTGGTGTATTCACAACAGCAGCTGCAAACAGTTAACGAAGGGCCTTTCGTTGTCATTTCTTTCTCGTAATGTGAGAAAAAAAGGTTATCTGAAAATATACCTGATTATACTAGAATTTTTTAATGAGCTAACAATGCATTCACTTTGATTTCGACTGTCAGAACATATCTAAAAGAAACTTCGGACCGATGTTCAAGATAAAACTCTGAACGGCAGCTTTGTAAGAAGATTTCTTCAACGTCTTGAAAGCACAAAAAGAACATATTGTCTTTTATAATCCTAGCTCAAATTTCATTACTGGAGCCCACTAATTCTACGTGAACGCCTTGTTTGCCGTGTTTATTCTTTAAACGACAATGTGCCTGCTCATAGGAAATCAAAAGGCGATTCTTTCACTCTCGAATGACCAAGTGTTGGTAAACTAATCTAATGAACGTATTTAATCAATAAACACTGTTTTCATTGTCATCCTAGACATTTTTGCAGATGATGATACCTAGCCATGGTATCGCTGGAGAAGATTTTATTATATCCATGTCTTAATTGAACTCTTCACCGACTGATATTGATCGTTTATTTGTTCATCACTTCAATGATTGATGAAATAATAGAAGCTTAAAACGAACAATGATTTCGAATGAGCATGAACATCTTTGCAGATTCTTATGTTACCTGGCGACTACAGTATTCGACTTTCTATTTGTGTTTATAAGTTTCATTAGAACGAAAGTATTCACATCATCAAAATACTTACAAAGAGCTATCTCAGCAGCAAAATAGTTATATGAAATGTTCTATCGTTGATGCAAAATGTTTCTACTTTAAAAAATGAAGATTCCAAATCTTGAATTTTTAGTTTTAAGAGTATAAAGAACTAGAGAAATGAGAGCAAGAATAAGCGAAACAGCAACGTAGAATAATTTGCTTTCAACTTTTGATAGCTTCATGTTACCACGTAAAAATTTGGAAACCTTATTCTTCCTTGTTTCTTGATTAACACCTGCCCAAACATATCATCTACAAATACTTCAAACAAATCAAAATCTACAAAGATAGGGAAAGATGTTAATTTTGGTTAAGTGTTTTCGGGTGATTGCAAAATTCAATGAAAATATCGAAGAATTAAAATTCTGAGCTAAAACTCTCATGAACCTGTAGGCCATACAAAAAGAAAGACAATGACTCTGATAAGGTAAAAGAATTATGTGATACACGTGTTGATAAGTATTCATGATTGTCTTTGTCCAAATGTGCTTGGGGCTTGGTTTGCGTAGTCCTAAATTGATCAAGGTTGTTCAAGGCTACTCACGATGCCAACATGTATTGAAAAAGCCAAGAGCTTTAACTTTTTATGTCAAACCTCATCAACAGAAGCAATAATTCCTTGGTAGTTTTTTCAGTGAGTTGTGCTGCAGCACAAATGAGTAAATTTTCGAATCAAAATGAGAAACTGTTCTTTTTAATCGAATGGTTTTCCTTCACTTCATTTTGTGTCAGAAATAGAGGTGGGCTCTACTGAACACATGTAATTGTGGCTTATAAAAAGACTCCATCAAGTAAATCTACACAAAAAATTATAACTGCCAATTTGAAAACGTATCAAAAAACTATTTGTCAATGTGCACATACCAGATTTCTTGTAAAAGGAACTTGTAAAGGTTACGCTGTTAATATAGACAAGGCTGCATAATATGGAAAGCTCTAAGCCGCAAACCGAATTATTATGTATCTAATGGTATCACCTATTTGGATCATGTGTAAAATGTTAGGGAAGATACCGCGAAGGTTTGAAGGCAAGCCGATATGATGTCATAAATCGAAATGTCTCAAATTTATTTTTAAGCAATGTAGTTTAAAATGCGATGTGCTTGATCATTCACCCAATGTTGCCAGCATTCTATACTCCTTTTTCTCGAACAGTATAAAAAGCTACGGGGTATGAAATTTTTGTTTCACGTTTAACAAAACTGAAATCATTTTGATAACTTCTGCTAGGGAGAGTAATTGAGCTGCGTCTGTTGCTAGTGCAATTAAAATCAAGCTTGTTAAATAAAGTTTTAGTTTAAAAGTCAGTGCCTTGTGCCCTTGTGTCCTTCTCACAAATCTTACCTTTATTTTAGCTAAAAATACGCTCGTCAGCTTCCTGCCAATATTTGTTTGCATTTCTGTGCAACTTCAATTAATTCGCTGATACAGACAGCGTGTTTAGTTAACAATGCTCATAGAATTTGACAAAGCAGAGCGCCATTCTTATTCACGAAGTTTTTCGTTCTTGTTTAATATTTAATTTCGGATTATTTAATCATAATCCAGCATTTGTATAATAAGGGAACTTTCCCGCTAATTTCATTAAAGATAGATTTATCCAAAAAAATGAAGCCCGAATTGCGACTTTACTATGGGAATGTAAAAAAATATTAGATTTTAAGCAAACACTTGATCAAAAGTTTTTGCCGTCATCGCACCCTTTTCTTCATCTTTATACTTTAAGCATACATACCTAATCCCTTTTTTGTTCTTTTAGCACAACGATCTATAGAAATAACATTGAATAATTATAAAGACAAAATAAACAATTGCTTTACTAAGCAAAAAATTTAGTTTTTCAGTCGATTGTTAAGGATGCTAGTCTCAACTAAAATAATGAAGGCTTTGGGTTGTTTACTTTGACAAAAAGGGTTTAGTCCTTGGTTGCAAAAGATATCGATGTAGCAGTTTAATGAGTTTCTTCTAATTAACTCTCTTTTAGGCTATCGTCCGTCTTCCACAACAGGAGATCATGACGTCAGCCAACACCAAGACGAAATGCTCGCAATGAGCCATGATCTGAGGCGAAATAAGCGAAAAAGAACCATTTTTACTGCCGAACAACTCGATCGACTGGAGCAGGAATTTCAACAACAGCAATACGTTGTTGGGCAGGAGCGAAAGTATCTTGCTGTTGAGCTAGGACTTAACGAAATTCAAGTTAAGGTTTGGTTTCAAAACAGACGGATAAAATGGCGGAAGCAGAAAGGCTCAAGAATGTCTCAAGTCAATCTTCAGCTGGAAGACTTCTAACTTCGAATTAGTTGCCGTTACTTTTCAACCAAAATGCCTCTTCTGTTGTTTATCTATATTTGTTGTTCATCAGTATTTCTTTTAATAGCAAATTAAACCTATCTATCCTGTAAAAAACGAAATTTTTAGATTTGGAACTCTGGCCTAAAATCCCGAATCGATAAAGGTTTTCATACGCATTTATATCAATACATGTTGTAGAGTTGAAGTTTCATTCTCATTTTAAACTTTGCATTTAAAGCTTTACTCGGCAGACAAATCATTTTTATGAATTTGACTTAAAATTATGAATCAAATAGAAAATTACTTAGAAGTATAAGAGGATATTCATGTTGAACGTAGATTTTCTGTTTTCTCAGCAAAGCCAAGTGGTGAATGGAGATAATAACAGCATTCTTGCAGTTTCTTTGTTCGATATTCGACAGTTTGTAAATTGACTTCTGTCAATCAAAGTTAAAAATGCGTTTTCAACTTTAATGATTATTTTTAATCGATGAAGTAAGTAAGTAACGGAGTCATCAACGTAATTTCAATTTTCCTTTTTTGTTTTTTGCTTGGTTTCCTTTGATACGCGCATTTATTTGATAAACAAATTAGTCTCATTCTAATGAAGCTGCTGAAATAAGTTTGAGGGCTTTTAATGTTCTTCGCTTTCTTCTATCAATGCAAGCATGGAGTCTGTAGCAAAAAAAAATGTAAGAAATTTGTTGAAGTTGTGTGAAATTTGTGTCCTTGGTCCCTGATTTTCAGTTCCTGGAGACAAAAGATTTCTTTCGCGTGCAATTATAGAAGACAGTATTAATATACATAAGGTCTTTGTCATAAAGTTGAACAGTTGCAGCCACGGCTGGTTAGAAATTTTTAGCCACGCTTTCTACATTATTTGAACATGTTTTTGTGAAAAGTAGCACTACCAAAAGAACCTTTGTCTTGCCATATAGTTGTTGAAACATTATCTCTTAATCTTTTTAGCAGATTTTTTTATCGCCTTTTGGTTGATGTGATAAATCTGTGTGACTAAAACATCCTTGATATTACAGTTCAAAATTGAGCGCCACCCTTTCGACCCGCGATGATCTCGCCATCTTTCATTCGGCTTCATGGGTGTAGCTTAGTGTAAATTTTTAAAGGAGTGCTCTCGCTAGAATTTCTTTCGCTTTACGAAGCACAAGTTTGATTGGACGCTAGCCCAAAGAGGCGCACACTCGAGGATGGCACACATGCTAAAGAAGGCTATCATATTAACGATTTACTTTAAATTAGTGTACAAATCCGAATTTTCTTGTGCCATACGATGTCATCATTTAGACAAGAGCCTAATGATACCAGTAGTTTGGTAAGGCCGAAAAGAAAAGGCAAAGTGTGGTGGCCATTGCCATGATAATAATAATTTTAGTATCAAAACAGTGAGGTAACTCATTTACGAAAAGGCCCAAAATACAACCAATTAGCTGAGAGCTGCAAATATCATACATTAACGTAAATCATTAATATATTTTTCAGTAATCTTGGAATGCATTGCATAACATGCTGCTATTTGAATTATTTTTACAGCTACTGTCAGCACTTTCACATCTTGTATAAGATTCAGTTACGATGACTATCAGAAACAGTTCATCAGACAGGTTGTGTGATTGTTTTATGTAATTTAAGAGCACGACTTGATTTTGCTTGTTTTATGTCAAAGCCCACTTATTTTCATATATTGAGAACACGGGAAGATTGAAAGACAGAGATGTTATCGTTCATCCCTTTTCTACCATAATTTTGAATGCTTCTCGATGATATGTATGAGCCAATTTGAAACAATATGCTTCTTCAAGATCATGCCAAGGACTCATCGCCAATTTTTCTTGATGGCAACATGCCAGTCTACTTTGTTGATAAAGTTTTTGGACTAATATCTTTCAGTACTTCATGTAACGCCGGTTAATTTATGTTTTTTTCTCTGCTGTTATTTTAGTAAGCTGTCTTGTAATGGCGTCTGTGACAGCTATTGAGTATAAGACCAAGTTAAATATCGGCTGAACTATTATAGCATCAGCTTACAACTATATACCTTTGATTAAAGACTTAAGCTATAGGGCTTCTTCTCTCAACCAAAGAAACGAATCAAATCATGGTTGCCGTTGTCCTGAAGGAGAAACGTTATAAAACTGCCGATGCAATTTGGCGCGAAAACTTGAGCAAATACATTGCTGCATGGCCTAGGACACCGTTATTAGACCGATATTACGAAATCTTTTGCCTGCAACTAAAAATCATTCGGTCCTTCTTGCTTTTCATATACTTTTACGTCCTTCAATAAACGCTTGTTGCATTTTTGCAATTTCTTTGAAGTTGCAGATGTTGCGCGACCGAGCCAAATGACACAAACTGAGATCTTTAGACGTGACTTATGTTGTATCACAAATATTTCTTTTTGCTTTCGAATGGTCACATTTTATGACCAAAGTAGCTACGTAGACAAGTTGACTGCAAGCTACCTTTTAAAGCAAGCTTAAACATATACCACATTTAACATGTGCCCGTCTGACAATAAATTTGAATAGCAATACAAGAGGGATTTACCAGTATTATAAAAAATATAGAAAGCAAAACAAATATTATCCAAAGATATTAAAATTACCGAGACATTATAAGAAGAACGACAAAGTGAGTAGAACGATACCATTTGATTCAAAAGTCTTTAGATACAAAGAAACTGGGACTGTTCTTATACTTACTCAACGCTTGTTAATCCATTTACTGAATTTATTTTTACACCCATCGGTTAAATTGCTTACCTATTGACTTGACATTCAGCAGATCTGAGCAATTGCTGAAAAATAGCTTAAATTAAATGCGATAAAAAAGACTGACACTGATTTTCTGGATGCAGCCACCCCTCTATTAGTAAATCATACATTTTGTGAGTCAGAACAGCTAATGCATATTGTATTCAAAAGAAAATTCAGCAATTTTTATAGATTATCGAGCAGATTTTATAGCAGTTTATGAATCAAATTTTCTCGCCAGACAATTTGCTTTCAATGTCATTGCACTGTCCAGTTGATCAGATTGTATTCCAACTCTTTTTGATTGTGTGGCAGATCTGTTTGTTCGTATCGATATGGCTACTGGGCGAATTGCGATAGCATTAATTTGCTTTTAATAGATTTAATAGCGACGTGGAATGAGAGCTTAGTAGTTTTTATTGTAAATGATTTGCAAACACATTTATAATTTCCTAAATTTTCACCTGTTTGTGGCAGGTGCTAGAAACACAGCCTTTTACTGACATCAATCGAAACGATTTCTTTTGCGACAATTGAAAAGCTGTCCTAGTAACAATAGGCTCTAATGGAAATCATTTAATCTAGATACACATATGTGGTTTCTGCATCCTCATTTTAATTCATTTGCATATCGACTAAAGTGATTTCAATTGTATCATTAACGAATTCGTTATCAGGGAAAAAGACAAAAGCTTTCGTTACGTTAGCAATGTGTCCTTTCACATAACATCAATGATTCATTAGTTGAATAACATTGGAAATAGCCCATTTTGAGCTCAAGAGAATCTTACTAAGACCTGCTTGCTAACATTTCATACAAATCTTCTGTTTACACTAAATTTGATGATTGAGTTTGAGCAAAATATTGAATAGCATAAAAAACAGGCCTAGAATGGTAATCAATTTTCGGTGCTTTTATCCAAATCGTTTCGAAACTTTCGTACTTCTTCATCAACGGTAGCTTTCATTTATCCCTTTCATCGGCATGTAGCACAACAGTTGATTTAAGCTTTTTTAAACCTTTAACACAAATGTGGCACTTGATAATATCTTCCCTTAACAACTTCTGTTTTCTTGTTGATCTTCTTGGTCTCGCCGGCATCTTCTTACTACCCGGCCCAACCACATTAGTTCTGTCTCTCTCATCTTATCATCTATGCTTGCAACTACTGCTAACCTTTTTCACATATCTTTTCCCCAATTCAATGCTAATTTTTGATGATTCCCCTTAACATGTTTCCCTTTATCATTTTCAGCTTTATTTTCAGGGCCTAGTTTCATCTCTGTAAATCAACAGATGAAATGTACTGTAAATGGAAATGTAAATGTAAATGTAAATGTATGGTTTTAATTCTCTTTGCCGTGATTGTCGTACATCATGTAATATAAGAATTATAAAGATTATGTCAGATGTGATATGAATATTTACAATTCTTAAATATTAAAAAGGTAGTAGCTCTGGGCTAGTCCCAGCTCTGTTTCTACAGCAGGATATGTAATATTATGTGGTTCGAATGTAGATGCATGAAAGTTTGCAGATGAGATAGCGTTTCTGTTAATCGTCAATAGAAAGGGAGTCACACATGTCGATGAAAGAGTTGCAGGAGTTGCCAACAATACCAAGTGAACTAATGAAAAGATTGACAAACGAGACTGACAGAGCCTGATGTTTTAAGTCAGATCTGAGAGTGGCATGAATAATAATAACAATGATAACAATAATGACAATTTCGAATACTTATCCTGGATAAAACACTTCAACCTAAAAAAGACTTTTAATGAAAACCTAACTTAATGTATGCAACCAATTTAAATGTTACAAATTTTTACAAAAAAAGCTTCAAAACGTTTCAGCTGAAGTATTTCTTTAAGAAAAGGGTAAAGTCAAATGTTGGCATTTCTCAAGCTTCCAGTGAAAACCGATCGACTCTTTTGCATCCGTGAAAGGAAAACTTTTTGTGGCGCACCCTCTTTCTATTTTTGGGAGACTTACCATTTTTTAAACAATTTCTTGTCTGCATCGAGTGTTCTATCAGTAGGAGATAATTTCTGATGGGATCAATGACTTTGTTATCTTAGCATGATCTGACAGTGACAGATAAACTGAGGGTACGTGCTCTTTTCTTATTGGCATTGGACACAGACTGTAGTGTAATTTCATTGTCAAAGTTTCTGTTGACAATGACTTCTGCTCGATTGTGAAAAGAATCCAGTTTATCTGACTTCATTTGTGTGCTTCAAAGCAGGAGAATACGGCAATAAGTGAACGTTGACAAAATTATACTCTGGTTTATGGCCTTTCCTGCTTTTGCATCTAATTCTCGTCGTAGTTTCGCAAGGGGCCTGAATCAAGAGGACGCTTTTCTGTAGCACTTGTCGAAAAATGTGTTCATGTTCAGAGTACTATACAATTGAGCTCCAAGGTACTTGTAGCTCGTGGCTTTCGTTATTTCCCTGTCGTTTACTCTGACTCTGAGATATAATGATCCTTCAGCTACTGTTTTAGTTGTTCCAAACAGAAGAGCTTCAATTTTTCCTTTTTTAGGTTCATGAAAAATTTATTTTCGTGGAACCACTTACCCAGCTTTCTGAGATCACTGTTTAGTTTCTCGGTAATTTCTGTAGCGTTTAGCCTAGGAAGCTGCAATATTTATCGCCTGCATATTTCATTACATTGGAGCTTTTAATTACATCTGTAAGGTCGTTAGATGAATAACAACGGCCCAAGGATCGATCGTTGGGGAACCCCTGACAAAGGC